TGAGCTCGGGGTAAAGCCATTGAAATTCCAAAAAGTGCAAACACACCGCAACAGGAAGAAAATTGACTCAAAAGAGCTAAAGAGTTGCTTCGCTTGGCCGAAAGTTGTGAACTGCCGCATTTGGTTTTCTCCGATGAGAAAACATTCGTGGTCCAGTAGTTTGTAAACAAACCAAATGATCGTGTTTAATTGCCAAAGAGGTCAACTGAAAATGTTAAACTTCGGTTGGCCACCAGAACACAAGCACCGCCCATGGTGATGGTGTGGGCCGCCATAACAGCCGATGGTCGCTCTGCGCTCGTATTAATCGAATAATAAAGGTATGTTTCGATTTACGAAACCCACACAATCTCAAATGTCAATTCCATTGACAAATATAATCCACTGGATTTGTGAACAGGATTAACGTGACATATATGCAACGTAAATGACGAATATTATCCCGAAAATATTCTGGAGGGTGTATTAAAGACTTGGGCACGCAAACATTTTGGCCGCAGACCTTGGACATTCCAACAGGACTCAGCACCATGGCTTTCAGGTCGCGCCACCCAAAAAATGTTTACAAAATTAGGTTCCTCGCTTCATTTCTAGCGCATAATGGTCATCAAAATACCAATCCGTTAGACTATTGTGTCTGGAGAATTTTGGAAAGCAAGGTTGGCACTAAAAAATACCAAAGTGTCGATCACGCCAAGCAAGCGCTTCGCCGGGAATGGTCCAAAACACCGCAGAGCAACATTCGGGTAGCGTGTGACGGTTTCATTAGCCGTTTGAAGACCATAATTCGTGCCAAAGCTGATAAATTCGAACAAATCTAAACTTATTTTAAATTTGATGCTATTTTCGAAATTTTTTTGCTTTCATTCAATAAAGTTTAAAATAAAAATGTAAAAGTTATGGCGTTTGACTTTGTTGCAGTTTTTTTATCTCACCCTGTACATGCCGTTTTATTTATTTTTTTATTTATATTAGCCCGAACTCGTATAAAATATGTTAGAGTGAGACAAGCTTTATACACTCTCTCCAAAAAATTTAACCGATAATTTTACTGGAAATGAATTATTATTAAATAAAATCGATATTTAGTCACCATTCAGAAATTAACATTCAGTACGATATCTCAAAATGTATTTGATTTTATTTTGTTTCGCCAATTCATTAAAATATTCCGTTTTTTATAATGTAATATTGTCTGGGCGCTGTAAATTATCATGGTTGTAAGTTTCTTCAGAATCACAATCTCTAACTTTGCACATTTTATTTTATTTGTTTTTTGCAAAAAAATATTTTTTGACTTCCACAATTGTGTAATAATTGTACTAGTATAAATAATAACAAATAAGCGATAAACTAAATGCTTTCAATTGTTTGATTTTTTATTATTTTGCTTATGATTTCGAATTCCTAAACATTGCCGATAAGACGAATAATTGAAGAAAGCACATTTGGCAAACTGAGATTTCTATGAAGTATGGATGTACATATTTAACATATTAATGTAATCTATAAACTTACAACGATTTGTGTTCATATATATATATATATATATATAGATTGTATAATAATATGCGAAATGATGTACATATGTATATTTTATTATTAAAGGGAATTTCTAATTCAATTAGAATACCTTATTGATAAGTTATTGCAAATATTTATATTTCTATGTGTATTTTTTTCATTTCTGGGAATTAGGTCATAGTTTAAAAATTTGAGCTAATTCTCAATTTTATGTATTTGCAGTTTTTTACGCAAACAAACGCGAAGAAATTAATTGTTATTAAAAAAACAATGTCACCATGTTATAAAAACATATTTTTGGTTTTATTATTCGCAGCACATTATTATTAATTATTTAATTTTTATTTATTTTTTCAAGTTTATTATTTTTTTATTCTAACAAACATAACAACTGAATCTTACTTGAGCTCTCTTTTTCTTTTGCAAATCACTACTCTTTTTGAGCGAGTATATTGTCTATTTTTCCAAGTTCTTATCAAGTAGTTTAAATAAAATGTTTCCTCGTTTTGAACTTAACGGCACCAAAACTCAAATACGAATGAATTAATTTTCAAAATGTTCTTTGCTTTTAAGAGAGATCTTTTGCAAAGCTGTAGCTTATACACGAGCAATGTTCGACTGCTGTACACATATATCCCTTCGTGAGATTCTCAAAGTTTTGTTAGGTTTTGTGTTTATGATGGTAGCAGAATATGTTTTTTGTCTTTTGTTTTAACAAAAATGGGGGAAGTAGAATCCGCATTTGCCGGATTTTTATTGCCGCAATGAAAAAAAACGAAAACAACAAAAAAACAATGGATGCATTTCAGTTATAGTAAAGTGCAACATGAATGATGCCCAAGGCAGTCAGTCACACATACATACACACATACCGTTATGAACGCATGTTGCTGTATGTGAGTGATCTACAAGCTGAGGAAAACAAATGTGGGAGTTCATCTCATTTGTATTTTCTCTGACATGAAGAGAAATGACACTTCTTCGTCTGCACCGACATGTCATCTAAAAATAAAAGAATCTATAAATGTACAATTCTTTTACAGAATGGAGTCAAATTAAAATAAAAACAACAACAAAACAAATCGCTATTTGAAATAAAAAGAAATTCATCATCGTCATGTTTAACTTGACGTTGCTGAATGAAAACAAGAACAACAAAAATACTTTTGACCGGTATCCACGAGTGTTTATATCAAGTTCAAAAAATGTTGTAAATTATTTTGTGTTACAATAGAGGGGTGGATAAATATGTTTCCATCCACCCCTCTATTGTAATTCAATAAATACAAATAATTTTAAGGCATTTAAAATCTAATAATTGAAGTGAATTATCTATACATCGTTTTGTTTTTTATTTCTGAAATTTATTGTTTTCTTTTGCTTTACCCTGTACCACCATCATAATAGAGACCACTTCTGTCAATATTACTTATCCATCATCGTGCGGCACACACATTTGACACAAATAATTATTTATTTCTATATTAGGTTTGTTGCATTCATTTGTATTAATTTATTTGATGTTATGAACAACATTAAATGGACATAGAGTTCAAAAATGACACTTTAATATATATTTTAGTATGATGTATGTCGAATGGTTACTTTTCCTGTAATACAATTTTACAATGTAAGGTACGTTTAGATGTACGAAATCCACTCGCGCGTTAAAAAGTATACAAGGAAATCGCAACAGAAGTTTGTTGCCCTTTGGTTTACAATTTACTTGAATTTCCTAATGGGAACATCCTTTTGCAATGAAAAATTGTAATTTTCAACGCTATTTTTCGGTTTTATGCATGGGCAATGGCTCAATTGAAAAAAAAGACATGGAAGCGATAGCATTTTAAATTTGCAAGATTTCCTTTCATGTTTTTCAATTTTATTCTGAAAATTCAAAAATATTGCATTTTTAAAATAAGTCAAATTTATTGGTACAGTATTTTTCGGTTAATTGCACATCAAAATTTGCACAAATTTTTTTCAATTTTTATCCGAAAAATATGAAAAAATATTTGACCCATCATTTTTGGAAAAATTAACCGTAGGGTCAATTAACCGAAAAATACTGTATTTCGTCATGGCATATTACAGAAGGCAGTCTCATTTGAGAATTCGATGATGGCAACCTTTTTTAATTTGGAACTTATCTATCAACTTTGAATAATATGAAAAATAAATTGCATAAAACTCTATATATGTCGATTGGCATATTTTAAATAAATTAAATAAAATATTGGTCTATTCCCGTTCTGTAAGAATCTACTACTTATTACTACGATAACAAATTTTCCTTTATGTTATCGAAGAAAATAGTAAAATCTAGTAAATTCTTGCGGTATCGGAGAAGACCATATATTTTCTAAAGCTGAACATTGATCTCAAGATTTAACAATGAAAACAACCATCTTATATTTCTAAGTTTTAGAAGCAGGGAACTTCAAAATATTTATAAATATAAATTATTAAGCAATTTTTGCCACTGAACACTAGATATGCGTACATTTCGAAGGAAGATATTTTCATTTATATTTTGAAAGCCGAATACTGTCAAAGACAAATTTATGAAAAAATTGGAAACATATGACTACATGAGAGTACCTTGTATAATTATGCCATGTATCAAAATTGCTCTCCCTTTTCACCCTCTTTTACTGGACTTTGGGGTAAACAGACAACATCCACCAAATGTTGACTGATCCCATCCAATCCACTTAGATTTAAATGCAAAAAACGTCATATCCCCTTCAATTATTTAATTCCAATTCAATTTACAATTATGGATTTTGAGAGCAAACTTAAGAAGCAGTTGATCATCCTGGTTGACCTTATTAAAAGGCCTTGCATTTTCCAATTCTTCATTTTTTCTGTATTTTCAATTATTTAATACTATCACTCAATAGCGATTAGGTATTCACTATCACAACTGTTTTTATTAGGTATCCAGGCTCATTAAACGTACCCTTTCGCATTGCCATTGAACGTACCCCATATTTCTTTAGACTGGCAACGCCTGCCGTCTTCTCAACCGTTGACTATTATTATTAGAAGAAGCGCTAGCATACATTATCATTAATTACTGGTTGGCGGTATATATTTACAGTTTCAATGGCGTTTCAGGTAAGGTTTCAGGTTTTAAAACAAGCACCCCAACTAATATAATTTATATATTTTATTTAGTTATGACTGTCGCTGCCTAAACAAATAGGAAATTTTATAACAGCTGGTCACTTCTAACGCTTTCACCGAAAAACGATTTATAGAACCCTAATATAGACATTTTTTCAATTGTATTTCCATGTGATTGTCAATAGTTGTCAAACTATCCACTCCTGCATAGTCTTGTTCAAAATAGAAGAAAAAAAAACGCAGTTATGCAAGAAAATTAAACAAAGTATTAAAAGAAATACTAAATTAATGGCAATTGGAAATTAATAGAATTTAATCACTACTGAAATTCCAACAATTGGAGTAAAATGTATCGTTTATTAACGATTAATCGTGTAGCTGTGGAAAATTGTAGATTGGCATTGTATGGCAGAAAGCATGCGGTAATTGGACGGACATTTGTGGGTTTGTCTAGCAAGGAGCAACAACTGAACGGGCAAAGGATTTGTTTATCGGTATCGAGACATCAATTGGTGAAACAAGATGCACCACGCGTTGTCTATTCTCATTTGCAGAATAATATTAATTCTAAAATTTTGACAACTTCGGCGCATGATGCAGCCTTAACAGCCGGTCAGAGTAAGTAACGGTCATTAAGGGGAATAGCCGGGATAAAATGATACATTATGGAGTTTGGATTCTTTTAGCAAATTCAACATTGTTGGCCACCACCACCGCCACAACAACATGTGTGCGTAAACAATCAACAACACCAACAAATGTTGAAACATTAGAGAAGAAGAAGAAGAAAAAACGTAAATTGCGCTATTCTAAATACGTTGAATTGTTGGAAGGTATTGTTTATAAAAATATTGAGAAAATGTTAAAAGTATTATTAAATTGCATTATTATTTTTAGTCGTCGATGGAGCCGCCAATGTTCGCAAATCGAAGGTACAACGCCTGAGAGCAAAGAAATTACAGGATTTTGTTGCAAAAACTCAACAGGAACTGATTAAGAAAATTGTTAATAAAAAGCAAAAGGCAGCAACAGAGGAAGGTACCAAAAAGAAAAGCAAAGCCAAAACGGCACTAACCATGCAACCGATTGAATATCAAAAAATCAATATGGAAGTATTGGATACATCTCTGCTGGAAGCTGGAAGTTATGATGATAAACCAATGATATTTTTTGGCAAAGACGATGAGGATTTAGTAACGAGAAAAATACTTCAAAGTCCTGAACAAATTGACAGGATAACAAAGTCTTTCCAGAATTTTAGAGATATCATTGAAAGTTTGGAACAGGAGCACATGGATCATGAAACGTTTAAGTAAGGAAATTAGTATTATCCCTTTTTTAGATACATTTTAAAAACTCTTTACTAGTCTTAGTGCACCCAAACATGCTATGCCAGAGGAGATTATCGATCCATTGGATTCGTCTGAACCGTATGTAAATCCTGATATCATTGATGAATCAACAAAAGTTAGTAAAACAGCCAATGTTACCGAAAAATCAAAGCCAAGGTAAGTGGAGGAGAACATTTAAGAGAATTCTTAATTTAATTTATTTCCATATGCTTTTCTACAGATTTAAATCCAAAATCCATTTGAATGAAACCCAAGAACGTTTAGCCAAAGAACGAGCTTTGCGTTTGAATCTTAACACATATTTAAATGTGTGTGTTTCTGTGGGTCTACTGAATCGAGCACTATCCACCCTCCTGACATATCGCCAAAAAGCACTAAAGAATAATTCTACAAACAATTTAATAACCATCGATCTGTACAATATTCTTTTGCACGGTTACGCAGAAAAAGGCAACTTTGAACGGTTTCGTGACATATTCAAACTAATTGAGGAGGATGGCTTGCAATTCAATACCCAAACTTTTGCCGCTATTTTTGAATGTCTTGGTCGTCTCGAATCTTCCGAAGCCAATGTTATGAATATACAAAAGGCAATTAAGAAAGCTGAAGAAATGGGTTTCACTTTAAGTGAAATCATGGATAAATCCTATTTTATAGCTGATCAACGTGATATTGCCTTAGATGCCATACAAAGGGTTTTACCGGATTTTCAGCCTGCCTACACGCCACCTGTTTTGGAATATAATAATACTCTGTTGAACACTTTCAATGAACAAATTCAACCAGCAACTGATATGGAAGTTAATGCTGCACACTCTCAAGAAAAAGTTCCCGGTTCAGAGATAATGAATTCTAAAATGGGCTATAGTAAAGAACAACTGGAAGAAATGGCCAGAGAACAATTGAGGATTGAACTTGAAGGCAGTGTAACAATAAAATCTATTGAAAAAACCAAGGAATTTACAAACACCGAGTTATGTGTATGTGTAAATTAAGTTATTTTGAATTTAAGTTATTAATATGCCATTTTTTACAGCGTGAAAAATTGAAAGAAATGGAAACCCAATGGCGTAGCCAAATTTGCAATGCCATTGCTCGGGATTTAAATACCCTGAAAGCCCAAGTACGCTACAAACCCAATGGATATATGAACTATTATACCTATTTGAATACCCTGGACAGTTCACAATATGCCGATATTTTAATACGTGAAATTTATAAACTTGCGGAGGGTTCCGAAACATTTAGCCCCACTGTGGGTCAATTGTATAAAGAATTGGGACAGAAAGTACAACAGCGGTATGTAGATTGGAGTCCATTTTAAAACTGTTGCTAATGATTTTTCTTTATTTTCAGTTTCCAAATAGAGCAGAAAAAGAAAAATGGTATATTAGAAAAAATTGGTGACATCTATAGTTCATACTGTGATATTTGGGATCATGGCAATAGCAGTGATAATACCCGTCAAATGTGGCAACGCTTGGTACACAAAGAACGTGCCACAGGCCCAAGTATGGACATAAAAGAAGTTGCCTGGCCAACAAATGTTCTGACTGGTGTCGGTCGTTTCCTTTATAATATATTAATGCGTGATATAAAAATCGATTCGTATTGTATGCGTCAGAATCAAAAGAGCGGTCAACAAAATTTACTACCAGCCTTTTATACACTGTTTCGTAATCAGGGACGTTTGGTCAAAGAGGAAGTTAAACCACATCCCGTGTTGGCAAGGTATTTTATATCACTGATATATTTTATTCTAGAAGATTGTATAACAATTTTCATTTATTAGATTACTACGTGCTTCGCGTCGCCAAACATTGACATTTGATTCAAATTTGGTGCCAATGCTATGTCCACCTCAACCCTGGAGTACACCACATAATGGTGGTTATTTATTAAATAAATCCGATTTGATACGTTTACCCTTACAGGTGAGTGAGATTTTATGATAAAACATGAAAAGACTCATTACATAAAATATGTTTCTTTTTATTTTATAGGCCATACAACAATGGGAACGTATTAATTCCATGAATCCACAAAATATATATCCTGCCTTAGATTCTCTCAATCAATTAGCTAGTGTACCATGGCGCGTTAATACAGATGTAAATATATTTATTTTATTGCAATAGATTGTTTTATCTTTCAACTAATGGCATTTCCAATACTGTTGTTTAGGTTCTTGATGTCATTATTGAAGTTTTTCAAAATGGTGGCGACGACAAACTTGATGTACCCCAACCGCCTAGCTCTTTACCTGCCCTTCCATCAATTCCTAAAAACGATGCATCAATATCGAATGCGGATCGTGCAAAATTATTCAAAGATAAAATGATCCATAGACGTAAACAGGCTGAAATGTATAGTTTATGGTGCGATACATTATACAGATTATCATTGGCGAACCATGTGAGTATAGCACAACAATTATATATAGAATGTAAAATATGATAAATTCATTACATGCCTTAGGAGAATTGCAAGATAATGAAGTCATCACTTGTCATTGGAGAATTAGATCTGTAGAGTATGTAATTAGAGTGTTGTAAAACGTAAAAAAAATGGTTCAGGAATATGATAGGAAACTAGTGTGGTTTATGAATTTGCTATTGCAATTTTATCTCCTGTGGTGGTTGGAGTGCAGGATACACTATCCCAATTAAAATGAGAAAATATCACTATAGATTAGTCCTGATATAAGTCATTATTCTCACAATTAGTTCAAATATCGTTTTTACATATTTATTCGTTGAGGGAGATAATCCAGAAACGAGAGCTAAAGATTTGAGAAATTCACATCTTGTATCTCTTTTTGGGATATTGGCCTCAAAAGTTAACAAAAGATCAGTGTGAGGATGCAATAGTCTGCCGTGGTGATTACATTATTTTGAAGGATATTATTTTGTGGTGTATTCGTTTTATAAAACATTTTCAACAAAATATTTTTTTTTTTACAATTTCTACTTTCAGTTCCGCGACAAAGTTTTTTGGTTACCACACAATATGGACTTTAGAGGACGTGTCTACCCGGTACCGCCACATCTCAATCATTTGGGTTCAGATTTAGCCCGTTCCATGCTCATATTTGATCAACCCCAGCCATTGGGCGTCGATGGTTTCAGTTGGCTGAAATTACATTGTATAAATCTCACTGGCCTTAAAAAACGCGATTCGGTTAGAGAACGTCTCCTCTATGCCGAAGAAGTAATGCCGGAAATTTTAGATTCTGCCGATAATCCTCTTACCGGTCGTAGATGGTGGGCAAAATCAGATGAGCCCTGGCAAACGCTGGCCTGCTGCATAGAAATAGCCAAAGTTCACCGTTCACCCAATCCTGCAGAATACCTCAGTCGTTTCCCCATCCATCAAGATGGTTCGTGTAATGGTTTACAACATTATGCCGCTTTGGGTCGGGATAAAGCGGGTGCTATCAGTGTAAATTTGGCTCCCTCAGAAACACCAAATGATGTATACAGTGCTGTGGCAGCTTTAGTCGAGAAATCACGTAAGCGTGATGCGGATAATGGTCTGCACGTGGCAGAGGCTCTCAATGGCTTTGTTAAACGTAAGGTTATTAAACAGACAGTTATGACGACGGTTTACGGAGTGACACGTTACGGAGCACGCTTACAAATCGCTCGTCAACTAAAGGATATTGACGAATTCCCCAAAGATTGGGTCTGGCCCGCCTCCACATATTTGACAACTAAAACATTTGAAAGTATACGTGAAATGTTCACGTCGACACGTGAAATTCAAGATTGGTTCACCGAGTGTGCTCGACTAATATCCGGTGTTTGTGGCAAAAATGTCGAATGGGTAACACCATTGGGTTTGCCGGTCGTTCAACCGTATAATCGTCAGGAGCACAAACAAATTCCCAAACCAAATGTTCGTGTATCGGAGGTAATGGCCACCGATATGTATGAAAAACCAAATGTTATGAAACAAAAGAATGCCTTCCCGCCGAATTTCATTCATTCGCTGGATTCATCGCACATGATGTTGACGTCATTGCATTGTGAACGTGCCGGTCTCACGTTTGTCTCGGTGCATGATTGCTTCTGGACGCATGCGTGCACAGTGCCCGAATTGAATCGCATTTGTCGCGAGCAATTTGTGGCTTTACATTCACAGCCAATATTGGAGGATTTATCGGAATTCCTAAAAGAAAAATATAGTTTTAGAGAGGGGTAAGTTGTGTTTGATAGAAACCAATAGTTTACAAAATATTTACAATTCTTTATTTTATTTTTTTCAGAGAGTTTAGCAATGACTATTCAGCTGAAGACTTATCGAAACGAAACTTAAATCGTGTACTTTGTCAAATGCCCCAGAAAGGCGATTTCGATTTGCGCAATGTTTTGGACTCTGTATACTTTTTCAGTTAAACCTAACCCCCGAACGCTTTTTTTTTGTTAAGTTTTATTGTTAGCATTAGGGAGTGGGGGATCTTTGATAGATAATATCCCCCGGGTTCCTTAAATTGTAGTCTTTAGACCAAAAAATAAAATAAAAAAAGTAATTGGCTTTAAAAGTATTTAGTTGAGTTAGAAGATAAATTTATACAATGTTCTTTGTAAGAATTTAATTTATAAAAAAAAAATAAATAACACAAAAAATAAACGAATATTGAATCTTTTAAATTGTTGATGTTTTTTATTTAAAAAAATAAATAAATGAAATGGATGAGTCTCATTTTTAAAAGGACACATAATCTTCTGTTATATCCACTATCGATCCCTGCCCGTTTTGCGTATTTTGAAAGTTCCAGGGGCATTTTTTGAGGAGAATCGGTTGTAATTTTATTTTTGCCTCCTCATGATTCTACTTTGACTTGGTTTTCTGTATTTAAAATATACTCACCCACCCCCCTCAATGATGTATTTTGTCCTTCGTCAAGATGCTGTATAGGCTGTGTTGAATTATATTTTTTTCCATATTTTCTCGTTTTTTATTATGTGAATTATATTTGTTTTTCTTGTTGTTTTTGTTGTGGTAATTTATTCATTATCATTTTTTATGTTTTTTAATATAAATTAATAATATATAATATATATACGAGAATCTAATGCTACATTTGTTTAAGACACTTTGTTTTGTTTCCATATTAAATATTACTATTTAGTTGTTGTTGTGTTTTCTGTATTATTAATATTATTGTTTTTGTTGGTTTTTTTTCTTATATTCTTACTTCTTGTGTGTGTGTGTAATGTGTACTGCTAATTTTCACAATGGAGATTGGGGGAAGTGGTTAAAAAATCATACACAAGGATTTGGGGGGTTTTGGAAAGGAGAATATTTGTTGTATATATATATACCTTGCTTAAGCTTAACAACTAATTGCTTATATGTTTACATATCTTCTCTTATATATAGCATATGTATGTAATGTGTTTGTATTAATAACTACATAATCGTAACACATAAAAGCCATTTATTTTGTTTTTTTTTTATTTGAAATAAATTGAAAATACAAACTAAACAAAATCTGAAAACGTTTTGTTTTTTTTTTTCAAGGAAATGGAGGGCTTTTTATATCTATATATATGTGGAGGATTCTGTTTGTGTATTTTTATAAATTTGTTTATTTATTTTTTTTTTTTTTGCAAAAAAATATTTTCTTCCAATAGCCTTATTTTTTTCCATTTATAAATACTTAGCAAAAATAGTATTTGTGTAAGTGGTTATTTACATTGTTTTTTTTTTTTTTTAATTTTCATTGAAAATCTTATTCACAAATTATTGCATTTTATTTCATCCGAAAGTCTTAAGCTTTCTTCTTGTATTTTAATCGAAATATAATTGTGTGTATATATATACAAAAGAACAAACGCATGGCGTAATTTTTCTATATTTTTGTTGTAGTTGATTTGAAATCTTTTGTTTATCGAGCGGGGGTTTGAAAACTTATTTTTTGTTTTTTTTTTTTAATTTTATTAAAGGCTTAGGTATGGGAATGGTTAATTTGGGATTATTTCATTAAAATAAAAGAAGGACTTAACTCCAAATGAAAAAAGAGTAGAGGCTTATGTAAAGATCATAAAATTCCTAGAACTATAGGCGTAAACTTCCATAACGCTTCTTTCAGACAAATTTTAATTTCAGTAAAATCTAGATAATCGCCACACAAAAAATGAAAAGAAAAATCTCCAAAAGAAGAATATTCTCTAAGTCTCAAAATTTTTTAATTGAAAATTGCTACACATTGAGAATAGTCAAAAATTTTGAAATCCAAAACAAAATTCTTAATTCTATCCAGGGAGATTAATCACTAGAAGAACTGCCCCAGTTGCAGTTGGTTTAGAGTGCGTGAATATAGGAGATGAGAATCTGTGTATAAAATCGCAGTGGGAAATGTCGAAACAATGGTGGAAAAAAGTGGAAATCCCCGGAATAGATCATTCAGTAAGGATTGGAGCCCAGTGGCTTTGCCAGAGTCGAAGAAATAGTTGTCTGTGAATCTAGTCGAAAATTGCAGCTATAAACACAGACTCCATACTAGAAATCGGTTGTGGCACATTTTTTGAACAAGTGCGCTTAGGAAAAAAGTCTTTTTTTAATTTTTCAGAAAAACCTCTAGAGATACATTGGATGTGTTAAAAAAGCTGTCTTCAATTATTATAAATTGAATTGATCGTCTATCCAAATATTCATATATTCTCGGGTAGACTACAACAGATCTCCATAACTCATCTAAAATTATTGTTCCACTATGTCATCTTAGCTTCATATGAGTAAAAAAAGATATACGGGTGTGTAAAGAAAAATAAAAACATAATATATGTAAATTTTAAATACTTCTATAAGAAACTAGTTTCTTATATCAAATATTTATTTATAATTTAATTATTTCATATAATCATCCTCACACAAAGTAAAATACATACGTCTGTCTTGTTGTTGTTTATTGTTTTTTTATGTAATATTCAAATAAAGTTTTGCGATATAATAAATGAAACTATTTCCATATATTTTTTTTTATTTAGTGAAATTAAAAATTAAATCAATGATTTGCAACTTTAAGGAAACATAATAAGTATTTTATACCTAAGCCTTTTTTTGGAAACATGATATTTTTTATAAAGAATTTTGTATGTTGTGGTAGAGGGAGGGAGGGTGTGTTGTAATATAACAATTAGAATGAACCATGAATGCCAGATGAAATGTTTGTTGGTACATTTTAGATCAAGCAAAACATAATTGCATTCCTTAAAGTAAAAAACAGAGAAGGAGAGAAGAAACTAAATTTACAAATGTAAAAATTATATAAACAACCTAAATGGTAATATATTTCTTAAAACATATTTCTTTTTTTAATATATATGTTATTGTTATCGTTATTATTATTAATATTAAATATTCAAAAAACTTAAGGATATAAATGTAGCAAGGAGGGCTTTTTTACGCCCACCATTATCAATAATAATAATAATAATAATCGTATTTATAAGAATAAAGTTATTATTTTGTAAGAAATACAAAAGGAAAAAAAGTTATTATTAAAATTAAGAAAAAATTTAAAAAATAGCATTTTACAATATATACACATACTCCTACTACAACAATGAAATTATACTTTAATGATAGCTATTGTTGTTGTTGTGTGATTTCTTTTGTTTTTAAATAATAATAATAATAATAATAAAAAAGAAACAAATTTTAAATGAAATTATAAACATGTTAGGGTTCTATTTGCGTATTAATTGGGGAGGAGATTTTTGTTTATTTTTTTTACTTAAAACATAAATATAACTAACTATTTCATATATTTATTTATTTATTATTTTTTTGTTATTGCATTTCGTTAATTATTGTATATCATCATTTTTTTGTGTTTAGGTTTTGGGACAGATTTTGGTGTATTTGTTTTTTTGCATTTAATATTATTTGTCACAGAAATAATGTTGTTGAGAGATGGTGGTATGTGTTGGGTGTGTGTAAAGTGAAGCAGACGAAATATATATTTACAAAAAAATCATTATAAAAAGAAAAAAACATTTGAAAAATGTATTCATTGCAAAAGGAAATGTATTTTCTATAAAATATATATATATGAAATAAATTTATTTTCCTACATATTGGCTACATTTGATTTTTTTATTATTTATCGTTTTATTATTTATCGTTTTATTATTTATCGTTTTCCAAACATTTAATAGTTTATATTATTCTTCTTTATAATTTATATAGATCAATAACATAATCTTTTGTTTGTATGAATTACAAAGAAGAATAATTTATTATTATTAAAAGTTTGAAAAACAAAAAATATTAGAAAAAAATGTATTTTTGCAGCCAATATTAATATTTAGGAAAACAAATTTATTTCAAAAAAATATATTAAAAAAAAGAAAATGTAATCTGCATTGAAAAAAATTAAAGTTTATAATACATAGCAAATATGAAAGTGTTCCCGAGTCCTATACAAACCAAAGATATTTTTTTAACAAATTTAATTTTCTTAAAAAATAAAGAAATTTAATTATTTTTAGTTTTCAAATTTAATATGGTTTTTGAAAACGGAAGTTCAATTTATGATAGCATACAATGGCTTAAGGACCTCATTTCTTATTGCTCTGAAACCTTATATTTTGAGTCAATACAATTATGGGTCCAAAAAAATTGTCCTGGACAATAACCGTGAATTAAATATATGTAAACGTTATAGATATATTTTATAGAAAATACATTTCTTTTTTGTTTGCCGAAGGAGGAGACATTTATGGTATTATTACCACTACTACAACTTCCCCGGATATAAATCATGTTATTGGCAGCAGCTGATGCCCGAACACTGCGATGTGTACCAATTTTTTCATTATCACTTGGACTATTGCCACTAGACGACGCTGCAGCCGCTGATTTAAATATATGTAGAAGTTTATAGACATATTTTATAGAAAATACATTTCTCTTCTTTGCCAATTTCTATGCGTTTCTTTTTTTTCTAATTTTCGAATTTAATATGCCTCCAGAAAAGAGAACTCAAAATAAAACAAAAATGTTATAAAAAATAAAAAACAATTGACTAGAAAATTATAATGAAATTGTAGACAAAAGAAATTTTCTATGGGCATATTGTAATGGGGGAAATGTTTTTTTTTTTACGATGAGGACCGCGTAGTGAGTGACAGAAATGGTATGCATGATAGTAACAGCAGCATGGGTTGGGAAGGGAAAATTAAAGTTATGATAAAATATTTAATTTATAAATATATAAGAATTCTTTTATATATTATTGAAATATATTTACAATACTATGATTATTGCGTTTAATGACATTTAAGGCTCTTCGGGGGATGGTGGTATTATCATCACCAGATGTAGCGACAACATTTAAATGATCATCATCACCATCATCGTCGTCGTCGCCGATGTTGTTGTTGTCTTTCTTATTAGATTTGGTGGTAGTGGTAACTGAGGCCGATACAGCTGTTGCAGTTGTTTGCAAGGGATTCCTAATTCCATCCATATGTTGTGGCAATTGATCCACAAAATTATCCTCTTGTAGAAATTCCATAAAATGCATGTTGTTCTTTGTCGAGTTGTAGTTTTGTTCACCATCATCATCATCATCGCCACAATTGACTGGTGGTGTTGATATTTCCAACGCATGTTCACTCATTTCCGAATCAAAACTAAACTCCATGTGTTCAAATTCCATCATATTCAATATATTGTTGCGATGATTTCCCACGGTTTTATTGTTACTTTTCCTATTTGAATCGCGTTTGCTGCTGTTGTTGCTGCATCCCTCACTACCAACTGCTCTTGTTATATTCTTTTTATTAAATATTTCATCCACCACCTCCTCCTCATTGTTTGTTAGAGTTTCACCAATAACAATTGAGGGCGAAAGTTCCGCCTCAACATCGACATCATCGTCATTGAGAATATTGGTAAGACAAATGTTGAATTCATCGAAATCCACAAAATTCGATTGACGTTCTTCGGGTAGCAATAAATTTGCTGTTTCTGCAGCGGCCACATCATTGGCTAATGTCATTAATTCAATGGGCTCATTCTCATCAATGTCTTCTGCTCCCTGCTCATCATCATCAACACCACCATCATCAGTGTATCCGAAATATTGCTGGTTGGTGGTGGTATTCATCAGTTCTTTGGTCTCGTCAATGTCATCGTCATCCTCCTCTTCCACTAGCACTACCAACGACCTACTATTTGTTTTTTCATTCTGTTGTTGATCCTGCGCCTCGGACATATGGAAAATTGTGCTAAAATTGATGTTTGGGGAATGTTGTTCATCATCACCACGTACTCCCGCGTTCACATTATCATCCTCCTCATCATCATAGTCATCATCTTGGAATACGTAAAAGTCGTAATTATCCTCAGTTCCTATAGCCGAGGCGCAAGACAATGGTCACTTGTAGTCTCTGGACCCTCTTCTTCGGCGTCCTTCAGTCAACAAAGATTCTCCGATGACTGAAATGCAAAACAAAAATAAATATTGTAAATACAAAGAAGAAAAACACACACACGATCATCGACACTTACCAGCACTACGCGTTTTTCTGCGTGCCTCTGCAACACTTTCCGAATTAGCAACACTGCCAGCAGCAGCAGATTTTGAATGCCCTGTTGTTTTGGCGTGTACTTCATTGCCGCCGCTATTTGCTGTAGCCGTTCCAACCGCGGAGGCATTTATGGTATTATTACCACCACTACTACTTCCCCGGGTGTAAATCATTTTATTGGCAGCAGCTGACGCCCGAACACTACGGCGTGTACCAATTTTTTCATTATCACTTGGACTGTTGCCACTAGACGACGCTGCAGCCGCACCTGCTGCTGTCCCCACCACTGTGTTGGTAGTGTGGTGTGTATTATTTGTAGTTGCGTTGCTGGTGACAGTGGTGGTATTCGTGGTTGCCCCTTGGGTAGCACCTCGTGTTACATGCGCTGAATTTGTTGCATTGGATGTTGGTGTTGTTGCTGTACTCTCATTCGCTTGATTTCCATGGTTGTTGCTGGAGTGATGCTTTTGAGTTTTTGTAGAATTAACACCACTGGACTCATTATTGTTATTATTGTTGTTGTTATTTGTTGCAGCTGAGTTGCTTATTATATTGTTTGACGATTCTAGAAAAAAGAAAAGAAAATATTAATGTAATGTATTTTTGTTAAATCTGAATTTTTTTTTTTTCTAAAAATACTCACTATTATGTTGATGCTGCTGATGATGAGCACGACTATGTCTTGTAGTCTTTTCCGTGTTATTTTCCAATACGGTTGTAGTTGGACTACCACCGCTAGCATTACTGTTGTTGGAAACCAAGACATTTTGTTGATTAGACGATGAGGATGTTGTAGATGATTCAATGCTGCCAGCAGCTGCCGCTTTGGAATTTCTTACTTTTCCAGCAACCTCAATTAAAGGTTCATCCGAATCGGAAGACTCTTCCATCTTCTTGGTGGCACCAGTACTATTGGCAGAATTATTTTTATCCAAGCTTTCCGATTTTTTGTTATTAGATTCCGTAGTATTTCCTCCACCAACCGCCAACGATGATGATGATGACGACGATGATGTCGTCGAATTAGCAGCACCGCTGCCACTAGTTGTATTATTACTACCACTGCGAGCACGCTTAGCGTCCGATTCATTGAGACTGGCTGTGCTACTGCTATCCGATTCCAAACGTTTGCGTTTATTGTTAGACTGATGGTGTTGCTGCTGCGTGTGATGATTTGATGGAACTGAAGATGCTGCTGAATTATTGTTGCAGTTGTTGTTGTTGGATGTGGCATTTCTGGGACTAACACTGACACGTTCATGCAACGAAGATTTTGCAGCCATTACATGTTTATTTTTCGCTCCAGCATTTTGTACATTTGTTGTTGAACCATCAAGCAGTGAAGGACTTGATTTTACAGTGTCCATCGGGCTACCCAGACGACTGCTTGCCCTTGTACGAATGCGTGGCGAATCAATATCTGTCGGAATCATAGGAATTTCTATGGATATAGGTGTTAGGTTTATAGATAACTCCGTTGCTTTGGATGCAGCATCTTCCTTGTTGTTGGCGTTATCAGCAGTTGAATTTGATTTGTGTGACGAAGAATTGCTGTCCTTTTTGCTATTAATAGCCGTCTCTTCGGATTTGCTGGAGGAGTTCGATGAATCCTTTTCTTTGTTGTTTTTCTCCATAGATTCCACTTCCACCTTCTTGTCATAATTATTGTTGTAATTAACTTCCTTAACATGCTGCTGTTCACTCTTTTTTGTGGATGGATCCGCCGTCACATGGCTTTCAACGGTTGTCTTAGATTTGGCCATTGGTGTAGCTGGTGTCTCTTTATTAACATTTCCTCCTCCACCTTTGCTATTAATCTTATCCTCTTCTTCTTTGCGTTTTTCATTCTCTTTCTTTTCCTGCTCTTTGAGTTCTTTTTCTAGTTTTTCTTTGGCTGCATTTTCTTCCTCCATTATACTGGCCGTTAGATTTTTTATTAGTTCTTCATCATCGTCGTCGTCCTCTCCATGATGATAGCCATCCTTCCGCCGAACGGAATCATCCGCCGCATCGTCGTCTCCAAAAATTGACGAATGATCACCATTTACTTTGGGTGTGTCTATAGCCACCAGCAGTTTGTCATCGTTAGAACTTCCTGTGCTTGTATTTGTTCCCAACAAATGATCATCTTCGGTGAAGCCTTCCATTTTGGCCAAAGCCTTCTCAATTTCATCATCGGCAATGCTTATATCTTCGTTTGTCTTTGGTACCCCAGCTACTGATAAGGAGGGCGACGTCGTCGTCATTGTATTGGGGTTTGTATTGCCGCCAGATTTCGCCAGGATTTGTACTGGTAGTTTTTCCATTGGCATTTGTGGCTGTAATGACTGAGGACTACAAGATGTCAATTGATGGGGTGATTTTTCTGATAATGCATCCATGGACTCTATGCCACTATCCTCGCCCCCAGTACTGTTGGTATGTGCTGGCGTACCGCCTCCGGTACTTGCTGGTGAATTCCTTAAGGTTGTTGCAAGGGATATCGACGACGATGATGACGAGGTGGATGTATAGCTCATACTGGTGTTACTGCCGCCATTCGCAGCTGTCGATGTTGCTAATGTTGTCATCGTTGTTGCGCCACTAGTTATGGAATTCTGCAGACTGAGGGTTTCAGAGTTGCTACCCGCCGTTCCAGTTCCTATATTTGTCGTGCCAACCGGAGTTATGTCCGTTGTCTTTGTCGATACTACTGTCGATTGTGATGCAGTTGTGTTTACTGTGGTGGCGACGGTAGGCGTTGACGAATTTGAAGACGACGATGCTGAAGAAACTGCTACTACTTGGGTTGCCTTGATTGTAGTGGTGGTACCTTGCAGCAATGTTGCAGATTTTGATGTACTGTAACTGGCGGCATTGGAGGCACCAATCTGTACAGATGGAATAGATGATGCTGTTGACACCGCCACAGGTTCATTTGACTTTACCAGTACATGCTCTATAACCTTTCCGGATGCATCCTTTCTTTCTACCTTCGTGATTTCCACCCGCTTCAAGGTTGTAGCACTGGGTAACATTGTCACAGCAGCTGCGATCATTTGTTGTTGTGTCTGCTTTTCGGCCAGTGCAGCTAGCTGCTGCTGTTGTTGTTGTTTTTGGAATTGCAATTGTTGAACCGCCGTAATGTACGACGGTGGCTTATGGTTTTTTGTTAAAGCTTTTCCCTGAATTGGTGTTATAGTCGCCGTCGTTTTCAAGTTGTGTTTCAGACCACCAGCTGTGATACCAATGCCCCCATCACTGCTGCCACTACTTCCGCTGCCACTACCGCTTCCATTTGGATTAGCAATTGTACTTAAAGTAATGCTATTTGGTAGTGAAGTTATTTTGGCCAGCTGCTGTTGTGTTGAGGGTTGCAACAACTGTTGTGGTGGCAAATGACTTATTGTTCCAATGTTACTGGAGCCCAGACCTTGACTGTCGGCCACCAGGGACATTGACTGAGATTTATTGTTATCTAAACTTTGCATGGCACTAATGGTTATACCATTTATACCCGACAGCAATGATGCAGCAGTGGTCGTCTGTTGACTGAGCATTTTGCTCGGTTCATTGGCGACATTGGCGGTGGAGGAGCTGGATGATGAAGAGGAACTAGTAGGGGATGCTCCATTCATTTGTGGTGGAGTTGATTTTATAATGTGTTGTACAATTTTTGGCTGCTTGGGTTCACTAGCACCCGCACTTGCGGCACCACCACCCCCACTACTTGGATCCTCCATAGCAGGAGCTGTCGTCGCATTTGTGTCCTGGGAGGAAGCAGATACATTGTGTGGCCTTTTCAACTGTGATGGAGTTTTTAATTTATCACCACTACTATTGGCATCCTGATCGTGGTGGTTGTTATTGGTATTTTGAGCTTTCTTGCGTTCCTTGCGAGAGTTCTTAATAACAATGGAATTTTTGCCACCCCGCAAGCTAATATGCAACGGTGGAACCCGGGGTTCTTCTGTGGGTGTGGTGGCCGGCGTTGTGGCTGCTGTACTGCTTGGCGTGGTGTTTGTACTACTTGTGCTTACACCAGACGATGAAGGTTGGGGAAACATGTTCTCACCTTGTTGTTGGTGCATGGGGTATTGTGGAGGCGGGTTTGTTGGAATTTGTTGTTGTTGATGCTGCGGCTGCTGCTGCTGTTGTTGCTGCTGTTGAGAATTGCTAAAATTTACATTTTGCTGAAAATGGGAATGCAGGCCTTGTTGTAGCTGCTGCTGTTGTTGCTGCTGTTGCATAACACTATTCGACAAAAGCTGAGCATTAATTTGAGACTGTTGCTGCTGCTGTTGTTGTTGCTGCTGCTGCGACACATTATCACTACCGAAGGAAACATCTACCTTGTAAGCAGGTGAAACAGGTTCCGATTTTTCCAACTTTAGGCGTAATTTTATTTTTTCTGTAGTCACCATGTTTGCCGAACTTTCGATTTGGGCATGATTCATCATTGGATTGCCGCCAGTACCAGTTGGAGTTTGCATCATAGGCGTGCTCAACATCGTGCCACTGCCGGAAACAACACCGCCAGACCCTGGAGTACCTTTTGCCAACTGAGCTGCCGCAGCCAGGGCTGCTTTGGATTTTGTGCCCGCTTTAGCGCGTTCCTTTTTCGGTTTTGGTGTACTGGCATTGGCCTCTTTGCTCTTCTTTTCTCTAACACCCTGTTGCAACTTTTCTCTCAGCAAATTGTTTTTGGCCTTTTTGTTGCCACTCGTTGTTGTGCTGGCAATATTGCCAGTGCCACCCATTAACATGGCACCCACTGATGGTGATGAGGATGCCGACCGAGGTGAACCCATAATATCAACCTGCCCCCCAGCCCCTGACTTATTGACCATTGTACCGCCACTGCTATTGGATGATGTCGCCGCCGTTGCAGAGACATTCCTTGACTTTTTGTTCTTTTGAGATTTATTCGATATCAGTGAGTCCCGTGAACGCTCCGTATCCGATCCAGCACCCATGGGTAAAGGTGTTAATGTACCACTATTATTTTGGTCCAAGGCAGAGAGCTTCGATAAGGCGGTACTGCACGAATTTGAATTGGAGTCTTCAGAAAAATTAACAGAATTCGGTAAGAGGTCATAAATGCTGCCCGAGTTGGCGCTATTGTTTAGAGTAAAACTTGAATTTAGAGATGTATTGAGGTTAGGGTGTTGCTGCTGATGGTGGGGGTGGTGGTGAGGAGTGTTCATTGTCTCTTGCTCAGCCTCCGTTTCACTGTCATCGCTTGGACTAGGTTCCAATTCTCCAGTTAATGGATTTATAAGGAATTGTTTTTGTTGGGATTGTGGTCTAGTGCTGGGCGTGTTCGATAATGATGTTGTGGAGGACGATGCCGATACATTACTTAGATTGGCCATGTGTTGCTGCTGCTGTTGTTGTTGTTGCTGCTGCATTATAAATTGTCTTTGCAGCTGTTGTTGGTGTTGCTGACTTGAATTCATAAGAAATTGTTGCTGTTGTTGTTGAGGCACTGGATTTTGGTTCATGGATTGTGATTGTTGCTGATGAAGATGGGGATGGGTATGTTGTTGCATATTAGGCGCCTGCTGTTGCAGACGTTGCTGCAATATATGTTGTGATTGTTGATGTACCATTGTCCTTTGTTGTTGTGGCTGCGCCTGTTGCTGCATTAATTGACTACCCTGCTGTTGCTGCTGCGACTGCATCATCTGCTGCGGAGCCATATTCTGCTGTTGCTGCGATTGCTGCATTTGTTCCATTGCCAATGTAACATTTGGCGGTATTTGTTCATCGCCCGCCAACAGCGAAGATGCCGCAGCAGCCGTCTCATCAATATCCATACCTTCAATTAAATCCAGATCCAAATCTTTGGCATCCTGCAGCAAAGATTCCAATTCGTTTTTATCATCAAAACTCAAAGATGAATCGATATCACAGCTTAGGGTAGGCAGCAGGGCATCCAAATCGTTGGTGGTCAGTGCATCTAGTCCTGTCAACGAGATGAGATGTTCAGCCAACTCGTCAACATTGTTCGGATCCACTATGGCATTGCTGCCTCCTGACGCAGGTACATTGGTGGATGATGTTTGGCTTGCGGCAGCCATATTTACATTATTACCACCACCGCCATCAGTCGCCACCGTTTCGTTGCTTTTAGTAAGGGCAGGCGTAGCACCGGGCAATGAATTCGCAATATTGGAAATAATTTGTTGTTCTTGTTGCTGGGTCTGCTGCTGTTGCAAATTGTATTGCATTTGATAACGAGCAAACTCTTGGAAACTACTCTTTGTTTTGGAGTCCATGGGCTTAGTCAATGCCGCAGGCCATCTAGAAACGGAGGAGGAGGCTGAGTTGCCTGCTGCTGCTGTTACTTGATTGTAATCGGGTGGTGGTGGCGGCTGCACAGCATTTATTCCCGCTGTATTGGCAGAAGGTGAAGAAGGTACTGTGTGTTGTGTAGATGCAGGAACAGGCGGGGGCGGAGGTTGTGGCGCAGGGACAGCATTCACATTGTGCTGTATCGCTGGCGACGGACAAGGCGGAGGTGGCAGCAGTTGCTGTCCAATTTGTGACGTGTTGAGTGGGGATTGGGCGGGTGTGGTTGAAGGCGATGCTAGTTGTTGCTGCTGCTGCTGGGCATGTGCATGTGGAGTCATATGGGGGCTGTGTAACGAATGATGACTGGAGGCTGGTGAATGTGCAGTTGCTGGTGACATATTGCCAGCATTTATGGACATATATTGTTGCTGATGTCCGGGCGTCATGCCCATTAAACGCTGATGTTGATGTTGTTGCTGTTGCAATGGAGATGGGGGAGTTTGCTGCGACAAATTGCCTACTCGTACTTGTCTCATTTGTTGTTGCTGTTGCGTTACCAGCATTGCATTCGGGCCCATAGATTGCTGCAGTATTTGTTGTTGTGGCGATTGCTGCTGCATATAGCGTTGTTGTTGCTGCTGTTGTAGTACACCTGCATTGGCAGCCTGCCTTTGCAGCTGTTGCTGACGCAGCAATGCCGCTTGTTGGGGTGACATTTGTTGCTGTTGTTGGAAACGTTGCTGCTGTTGCTGGGCATATATACTGCTGCTGGGACTTACCATAACTTGCTGTTGTTGCGTCGGACCTTGTGTGTTACGCATGGCATTTGTCGCAGTGGGTGAAGAAGGCACGTTTAAACTATTATCAGGTGTACCCGGTGCGGCCAACATCTGTTGCTGTACCTGAGGTTGAAGTTGCTGCTGCTGTTGTTGTGTCATCATGAAATCTATACCCGGAGTACTTGTTCTCATGGGTGAATTCATGATATGCTGTTGGGGACTATTCATTGCAGCCATCATTGGGGACTGTTGCTGTTGTTGATGCATTAAGGCCTGCTGTTGTGATTGTTGTTGTTGGGGTGAAGTCAACGGTGATTGTTTCATATGATTTCCATTTTGAGATGACATCGAACTGTTATCATTCTGCAACAAATTAACCAAGAGTGGCGACGACATGGCAATGTTATTACTGTTGTTGCAACCTCCACCACTTGAAGAAGACAACATGGCATTTGGTGATGGTCCCGACGAAGAGGCAGCTACTACTCTCGAATGCAAATAGCTTGGTGCCTGCTTTGCCATCTGGGCATTTGCCACGGGAGAATTGGGGGAATTTACATTGCCTACACCTACACCCGGATATGGTGGGGGTGGTGGTTGCAAGAACTGCGCCTTGCCAGCTGGAGAACCAATAGTGGTTGTTAAAATTTCTCCACTTTGTGGATTTTTTATCACCTTCAGTGCAACATTTGGAGGTGGTCCCAATTGGCCGCTGCCCATCATTGATTGTTGCATACCACCACTGTTTCCTTGAAGACCAGCAACAGCAGTTGATGTACCGCCCGATGCCAACGGTATGCCACCTGGTGTTGGTACGTTTTGACTTCCAGGAGCGTTAAGGGCATTATCACGACCCTGCAGCACTCGAGCTTGGCGCATACTTTCAAATGGAAATTCTCTCGAAGTATTGCCAAACCCACCGGAGCCGACAACTGGTAATGGCGGCACGGGTACTTTACCATCCATAGGGCAAACTGTATTCGGTGATTTAAAAACACCCTGCTGTTGTTGCTGCAGCTGCTGCTGTTGCCCGGTGGGGCCATATGTTGGCTGTTGTTGTTGTTTAATAGCAGCATTACTCGTACTGGGTCCGCCAAGCATTATGTTTCTACGCTGTTGCATAATTTGTTGTTGGTGTTGCAGTGACATCGCGGTGTTGGTCTCACAAGGCCCCACCATATTTTGTCCGAAACCAACACCTGAAACAACATTTGTTCTATGTTGTTGTTGCTGCTGCTGTTGTTGTTGTTGTTGCAGTATTGAAGACGATGATTGTGGCAGTTGTTGATGCTGTGCTGGTGACATTTGTACAAATGCACTATTTGTACCAACACCACCACCGACAACGCCACTAACACAACTTCCTCCTGCACCAACACCCGCTGCAATATCTGCGCCCCCAACATTGAGTAATTGTGATAAGTCGCCAATATCACCACCGTCACTGACGGTACCACCTCCTCCGCCACTAACACCACCACCCAAAGACGTTCCTGACGTCTCAGGGCCTAAAATCGATGACACATCTATAACGTGAATGAGACAAGCGAATAAATAAATAAATCTGAAGAAAGGCGTCATCGATCGATTATACGTACCTGTGGGCTTTACATCGATTTGTTGTCCACCAACATTTAGTGATATCACAGAATCTCCTTCTAACTGTACGGAGCTAATGCCGAGAGCCCGTAAAGTTGCATTGCTCTCGGTTGCCAATTGGCGTAACCTCTGCGCCGCATCCTTAGGGATTTGCACTGTTATCCGCATGTACGGTTCAAGCTGCTGCAATTACATAAAAAATAGTTCTATTAGATAAAACAGTATAAGTTGTTTACGAATTCAAATATCTTGACATTTTTTATTTAAATTAACATCATTTTATCTTTAAAACCAAATATTGACCGATAAATCTGTACTGTGTAATAGTAAACATTGCTTTTCGAGACTGATTAATAATATAGATTAATACCCTAAGGGTTATGAGGAATTCAATGGTTTGCTAAGAAGGGTACGACCCTTCTCATAAATAAATTAAATGACCAACAATTTAGAAAACTACAAAAATTATAGTCACACCCTATGAAATTACTAAACCTCTCACATGTTTTATATCCTAATTGAAAGCGTTGCAACTCGTTAAAGGGTAAATAGGACCAAACATGATTAATACGGAAACTACCAGTTTGATTTTATTTTAAAATATGATGATCAATACTGCTTTGTGGACATTTAATACGGAAGGTTCGATTTAATATACAGACATACATACATGACGACATTATTTACTTGGAGAAGTTAATTGTTCCCGAGTTATGGACGCCAAAAATTCAGAGGCTTAAGTCTAGTTTAGAGTCCCCTCGAGGATAGTTTTGAAATTTTTACCACATGTAGTCCAAAGTTTCGTTGGGACCTTATATTTTCTTACGGTTTTTAAAAAATTGCTGACGCAATTTGGGTATCAATTTAAAGCGTTTGAAGTAGTCCTGATTACAAAAACACTATTCAAATTAAATGGAGATGCGATCGCGTAGCTGCCACCTGTCCATAGGAGAAAGTCTTAAATCCCCGGCCGAAGCCTGGCTACCCTCAAACACTTTTCTTTTTTAAAGAGATTCGGACGCGTAGCCGTAGTCACCATCTGTCCGTAGGTGAAAGTCCTAAATCCCAAAGAAACCCATACTGTTTTTCAAAATTAAAAAAGGGTCCCACGGAATTTTAGATATCTCAGAATGTGTGAACTTATTTTATAACAACTTTATATTTTTGTAATCAGGGCTTCAAACGCTTTAAATTGATACCCACATTGCGGTAGTAAATTTTACAATTCATGATAAAATACAAGGCCCAACGTAATTTTGGAGGCCCATATCTCCGGAAATACCGATTTCCGCAAAGAAAAAAGAATACCATTGTAATTAGGGCCCCAAGGACTACATTTGGTAAAAGGGCCCTAAACTAGACTTGTTCCCTAGCAATTTTAAACTGAATGGGAAATCCAGGGATTACAAAGAAACTCTGGAGGCCTTTATCTCTGGAATTAGGGACTTCCGCAAGAAAAAATTGATACCCCCGCCATAATATATTTAAAAGTAGACTTTTCTTATATAAAAATATTACATTAAAAAGGAGTTTTTGGTCTGGGGTATATTAAACACGTCTTCGCTCAGGGCCTTTTGTTTTTAGTGGACCGGCATTTTCCTGATATTGATTTATTACTAAATCTTGTATATAAAATGTGAATGTAGTTTTATTGAAAATAATTTAAGGTTTTCAACCTTAAATATTGTTTTTTTTTTGTTATTCTTTCTAATGAAAAGTGGTCACAGAAAGTTGCAAACTGCAATGCACAACCAGATTAATGCATTTTATTTACTCTTAAATATTATTATATGAAAAATAAAGAAAACAACATTATTTTGATTGTTTGCTGCTCTCATTATTTAGTGTTTACATTAGTGGGTTATGAATGAAAAAAAAAAATCCGCCTCGTTATAAAATTTTCTGGCAACTTTTCAATTGCACTCCAACTAATTAAACATGCGGCAACACTGACACAAAAGCAACGAGTTGACGAGCAAATTAATTGTTCTTTTTTCTACATAATTTACTTTTTTCTTTAAATGCAAATTATTGTCATCTGCTGGTCAATCGACATGCATTTGCATGCCGACTGTATAAACAATATAAAATGATCTCCTTGCTTTTTTAGACGCATTCACTTTTCTTGTAAAATATTTCGGGGGGAAAACCAAGTAATTTTTTTTTCTTCATCACATATTAACGATTATGGACCAACCAACCAGCCGACCGACCGACCATACACCAGCAGCATTCCAATACATGGCATATAACATTGCATGCATTAGAATGAGACAGCTATAGTGCACTCACTTTTGGTTGGAAACTTCGCATTGGAATAATTGGAACACACACACATACACTACTCTGAATTAATGATGTTATAAAAAAGTACAGGATTGTACAATTTTCTCTTGATTTGCCATGCACAACAAAAACAATTGTATATCCACCAGATGTATATAATTAAATATTTAAATTAGTATTAAATAATTGTCCGCCATTTTGATAAAACTCTACACACAAGAAGAAAAAAACTCGTCACAAGTTACTTGTTACTACTACGGGAAGAAAAAGAATAAAACAAAACGAAGAGTGAAAATTACACCGAGTAGCGAGTTGAAACTTGATTGAAAATAAACTAAATGCCAGGGTTGCCACACTTGACGCAAAAAAATGCGTCTTGCAATCACGTATTCCACACAACAGTGACGGGGTTCATTCGTTTGTTCGTTCTATTGTCAAAAACACAAATGGATAAACAAAAATATATGGGGGCTCGAATACGTCAACTTTATTCGTATTATTTATTAATCGATAAACATTTATTTTCTTGTTCACAAACTTGGTAGTTGTTCACTCAAAATGTTTCTAAACACTCGGTTATATATTATTTTGGTATGAATTTCCGTATAAACAACACAGCTTTCGTGCTAATCGGAAAACTGCTTTCCCGATATGCCAAATCAAATACAATCACAAAAGTTTGATTTTTTATTCATATATCAGTTTTTCATACGCAAAAAAAAAAATAAAACAGCACATTTTCTAAATCATATTCGCCACCATCGTGCCAATCCTATAAAAATTACCTGTTTAAGTTGCATATCATCACACGACACCAATCACGCTTGACGGGGATCTCTCCTGTTTTGTATGACTGACTGACTGACAGACTCCCTTCGAAGATGAATTGTTGGTTTTTGCTATTAATTAAATATCTTTCTGTTTTGTGTGTTTAAATTAAATTTGAATTGCTTTTACAGTGCGTCGTACGTATACTAATTATATAATTAGTAAAAAACGCTCTACGATGATTTTCTTTCACAAACCTATGTGAATTAGGCAATTGCATTTGCTTATAAATATTACGATTACTATTAGTATTATTTTTTTGTTTTGTTTTGCTCTGCTTTGCAAGCTAACAAGATTGAATATGATGATTTTGAAAATGAGTGTTGTTGGCAGGGGTACGGGTGTATGTGGTGTGCGGTTGGTATGGGGAGTAATAACTCTTCTTCTTCTCTGCTCCTGTTGTGCTGTGTTGTGTTTAATGCTCACAGAAGAAACCCCAATGAAGAAATTCTAGATTTTAAATCGTTGACCACAATTTGTTTGCATCCATTTTCGCATGGAAGAAACATCCAAAAAACACTTAATAACGGTTTGAACCAAAAATTATATGCAGTTGTTGTTGTTATTATTATTGTTTTTGCTTTTAATGCACACATTTGGGGGTATTTTAATATTTACGTTGTGTTCACACGCTTCGTTCGTTTGTTAACACTTTTGTTTGCGCAAAAAGTCAACTCTATGGCAACTCTGATCGAGGAGGATTGTATTATTGCAGGTTATTTTTATGCTGTTTTCTTTCTTTCATCTGCTGCTGCTGCCGTTTGCTTGCTTGCTTGCTTTCTCGCTTTTTTATTACACTTTTGCTTTATTTTTTCTATTCAATACACATTAAAAACAATAAACGATCATTAGGCAACTCATATATCACGTTACCACTAACGATTTGCCGCACTTGCCACAAATGTGGTACCGAGGAGGAGCTGGTGCATGCCGAATGTTGGTTGATTGGATGGATGTAGAGTTTATGTTTTAGGTTTTTCTTCCTTTTTTGTTGTCATTCAACAAAAAATGAAACTCCTCTATTTCGACACTACGCGGCGTACACACACACGCACACAAAATTCTATTGGACCTCCTTGCGAGTTGAGTTTTCATGTATTTTCATCTAAATTTTAGACACATTTGTTTGGTGGAATAATTCACTTTTTGCCTTTTTTGTCGTGTTGTTTCTTGTTCACTTCACTTCTTGAACGACAGCGATTATGATGCTTTGATGTAATTCGTCTACGATTTTATAGAGGAGGTTCTTGTTTAGGCCACCAAACATGCAATAGTACAGCATGACTTTTTTTTATATTTTGATAGTTGTTTTATTTTTATTTAGCATTAAATTTGTTGAATTGGCCTCATGCTTTTTTCGAAATTACCAACAAAAATAAATTTAAAACTTTTTTTGAAAATCTGAGACAGCAACAAAAAATATACAATTCACAGGCGTAGAAAACGAACCATACGAAGTATAAACTTTTTTTCTTTACTCTTGATGTTGTTGTTGCTGCTATTGGTTGGTTGCTGGTGTTGTTGTTGTATTGGTAGCAAAAGCAAGAGGGGCCACAGAGAAAAAAATATGATTGACGACAAAATTTTCTTTCTTCTACGAAAAGACCGAACTTCAATTGAATTTTTCCGTATTTCTTTTTGCACTTTCCATAACAATTTCTACACACACTTCATATAAAGTAGTTAAATTTGATTAATTTCATAAATTTATTACAATTAGATTGTATATTCTAGATGAAATTTGTAAAAAAAATTCGTGCTGTAAAAATTTCCGACCACGAACAATAACAACCGCCATTTGCATTTGAGTCACTTCCACTCTCCACTCTTCTCTCCATAGATATATGTGAGTGCTGATTAACCGGTTATTTTGTGGCATTTGTGTGGTTATATGGCAAATCACTGAGGAATGATAACATGTACATCAAAAAACATTAACACGATTTTTGATGGTATAAATATGATTTAACAACAAACGCGGAAAGAAATACATCAAATTCGTAAATAAGTAAGAACATAATAAATCAATGTGAAAACAAAACTAGTAAAATAAAATGGAACACGATATTTCGTTATCCATCGAACAGCACAGAAAGAATTTCAGTCCGGGCTCCAGCAGCAATTTTTAGAATATTAACAGATTCGTTTTGTTGTACGCCGTACTCGATCTGTTACGTTTATTCCATAGCGCATATGTCAAACAAAATCCAATGGTTTTATGAATATTATTTATTCCACATATATGCTATGGAATTGACATTTGAGATCGAGTTAATTTTTAAAGGGAGATATTAGAGTTATAATTTCTAGTTCATTAAGAAAGTCACTCTTTTTAGTTCAACTCTCATGAACGAACTAGTTCATTCTCCTAGTTCAGTAGTTCGTCGATAGAGATACATTCGTGAACGACGATTGTAAATCGTATAATGAACTAACTATCCTTATCTATTTAGTTTGTAAAAATTAGGTGATATAAATAAAAAATATGGCAAATTTGTTCGAATAGTACACATAAAATTAATATTTTTAACAAAGATATTAGAATTTTGTTCACATAAAAACGAAAATTTACTTATTAATTAATAATTCATAATAAAAAATTTTAATTTTTTACAAAATATTATTTTTATATTTTTAAGTGATTATTTATACTCTTTCGAGTCGAGGTTCATCAGGCATATTGGGCTATGTGGCTTTACAAAGATCGTACGTTGATAACTTGTATTTATTCCGTCCTGATGCGAAACTTGCATATGCGAATTAAATTCAAATTTGTCAGACTTGAGGCATGTTTCATTAAATTGCTTTTTATTAAATACCATGCGAAAAGAATTATTAATATGCGTATTTTTTTAATCAAGCATTTAACTTATGGTGCAATTATACAAGTTAGGGTATCAACAAAGGGAAAATAGACCTCTACCTTGTGTGCTAGAATGTCAGAATGAATAACATTTTACCAAAACAAGAGAAATTAACAAAATGTCAGGTTTTCTTTTTCAAAATCGAGTTGGGAATTTGATATAAATACTGATTCATTCACAAATCATAAATTTTTCTTCTTTCTAACGATGTAAAATTTATCTTTAAACAATTGGTTTTTAGATTATATTTTTTAAAACATCACAGTCACATATTTTGTATATGACTTTGGCATAAGTAGCCACAATATGACAAAATTGTAATTATAAATTGCTACAGTCTTCCGTACCATGGCACAATGAATAGGTAGTCCATTTAGAACAGCTGATGTCTTGATTAACTCCCAAAGTGCGTAATTTCTACTTGAATTCCATGGCACAATAAATAGGTAGTCCATTAAGCGTAGCTGATGACTTGATTAACTGTCAAAGTGCGTAATTGTGCTATTTTGTCAACCATGTGAAATATTATATTGAAAAATTTGACAGATGGTCGAGATAAAAACAAATGTTTTTGTTTTGATGTGTCAAACCTTATTATTACATCATGTTGAATTCGATGTACAATGTCGCCAACCATGTCAAATATTATAAGGAAAATTTTGACAGATGTTGGAGATAAAAACAAAGGTTTTTGTTTTGATACATCATCTTATTATTGCATCATGAATTGTATCATTATTTATCTTCTTGAAATTTCATTTCAATATTCCACACATTTTTTGCTACATTTTATTTATTTATATTTCATATCAATTTAATATAATAGATCTATTTATAAGAAAATATGGCATTATTAGAGATCTGTTTTAATCAAATTTCCCCCATGTATTTCTTGAAAAAATGATATTTTCCACGCCCTTTCTCGCACAAAATTATATTCTCATGGCGACATGTAAAGCTATAACGTCGTACGATAATCCCTTTATGTTTAGTTGTAGCGATGACACATGAATAGTACTAATAATAAACAACTCTGATTGGAAAATAATTTGACATTTGTAGAGAACAAGAAACATTACTCGAGTTGAGAGTTACCAAATTCAGGTGTCACAGATTTGAGAACCAAAAAGTAAGGGGGTATTTTTTTTTATAAGTGATTTTACAAAATAATAATTAAAAGTAATATTAACAAATATAAAAATACAAAAGAATAAAAAAAAAACAAATGTTAAATGTTTGCCTTGAATAAAACTCTATTGACAAAAACTACATTTGATTTCATGGAATTTTTCTATTTGCAATATTTGCACGTTACGTAACCTACAATTTTTTCTTATCCTTCTTTTTTCCATTTACAGGAGTTACCAAAATGACTAACGCTCCTGCTGTTTCCAACAATGCTCCCCTTATGCGTGGCTTGCATAATGCCCAAACCAAACGTGGTTTGGCCATTGCCATTGGTTTGACTACCGTCATCACAACAGCCTTCAAAATCTTTGTGAATAACCCCAAAAAGGAAGCCTACGCTGAATTCTACAAGTAAGTTTTTTTATTGGAATTCTTTGTGTGGGAATGGATGAATGAAACATTTTTCTGAATTCTGTTTCAGGAACTACGATGCGCAGAAATCTTTCGAACGCATGAAGGCCAATGGTCGCTTCCAATCCTGCTAAACTGTGTTTAGTTTTTCCGATGGGGAGCATTTAGCTAATTAATGCTAGTTCGTAGCTTAAAATAACAGTATGATTGATATCAAATAAAAAAACGAGAAATCTGTGAATATCTATAAATTGTTTAATGATCAAAATGTGGGTAATTAATCATAATTAAGAAATCGCGACATGGGCAGAAATCAAAATACCAATGCAAATGCAATTTCAAGAATCAATTTATGTTCAAGAAAAACACCCTTGGTAAGCAATTTTTCATATTTTCTGTTGGGTTTGTTTACATTTTTGTAGAATATTTTATAAATTCGCTACGATTTGGTTTCTAGAATGATGTAGACCCTTTAGAAGTTATGTCAATGTAAATTGCAATATAAACATTTTCTTTGGATGATGAATCGAGTTAACGATGTTTCGAGATTACGAACTCTTTATTAAAAAAAACTTTATTTGCGTCATAAGACATACAATTTAATAGTAGGATTCGTATGGACTTATTCTTCTTCGAAGTATAAGTACTACCGGGACAATACTGTTGTAGTGATTTAACATCTTTCGATAAATCCTGACAATCAGAATGAGTATGTTGTCTTTGATATTTTCTTTAGCCGATTAGCTAGTAGCGGTTACAGGAGTACAGCTCTTTACAATTTGTGCTGAGGTGACAGTCGTTGGATTCGGATCATTGACCTCACGAGACGTTACTAAAGTTGTTGTTTAAAATGAGTTGAGTTTCGAACTTGTAGCTGGGTAAACATTGAACACATTGTCATCTATTCTTTTCAGCTGCAATGGCTGCGAGTGGACTCCGACAACAGCATTCACTATCAAAGCATGACATGTATCAAAGATTTTTCATTGCTCTGGTTTACTTCTCGACTCATATATCTGAAGATAAGTACAACGCTGTTGTTATTGTTATCTATTGGCTTTAGCTATAAGTAGACTTGTAGGTTCGGACGGAATATATGTTTTGTGTGTGAGAAGGTTTTTCTGGCAGGAGGAAGGCCTATTTAATGCGCTCTCGATACGAATTGTGAACATTGTTGTTCCTGGACCTTAGTTGTACCAAAATCGAAAGGGGTTTCCTACGAAGAAGCATCTCACTGTCCGAAATTGCAGGAGGATGTTGGAGTAAGACTTTATTACATCTGTAGACATTTATCGCTTCGGTGACTGCCAGTTGATGCATGGATTTTATCGCGTTTGCTACTGACAATCTGTTGATGTCCGATGGAATGACGTCTTGGATGCCATCACTATAGCGCCTGAAGTCCTGAAGTATGTATTGCGGAGTTTGATCTGCCACCATTGTGCGATGATTGGGATGACACGGCAGATAGCATGCCGGCAGGCACTGTCAATGGAGAGCTGAACTGATGTTGATTGACTGACAGCATTCTGGTCTCCTAATGTAGGTGATCGATGCTCGTCATCTGGACACAGCCGTTCCTTTATTTTGTGTTGTTTTCAAGGATCTCCATCGTGTGCCGATAAGAAAATAACTCCAGACAGCATAATAAAGATGGAACGATCCGACTTATGGTCTTTTGTGTCGTTAACAACGTTTCTTTATCTTTGTCCCAGCAGGTGCCAGCAAAAGTTTTTAGAAGTTAACCCATGTCGATTGTAAATTTATCATTTCTGCATATCATATTGAAAATAAAATCATATGACAGTATAACAGTTATTTAACAGATCTGCAATGATGGCCACCAAAAAATGTTTCATAATTTCCATACTCCTTATTTGATACTGTCACTAGTCCTGGGCAAATTTTTTCATATGGATTTTGACCAGTTTTGTTGAGAATCACTTCATAATACTTTTGTTTCGTAGACATTTCGACCCAATATAGCAACTTATATGATATGTATATTGACACACTTCCGAAGCTATACGAAATTTAAATAGGGCCCGATATTGATCATTTTTATTTAGTCCTTATTTTTCGACTGTCAAAAAGGTGTAAACATCGAAAATGTCATATACCTGTATAAAATGTAATAAATGTAGTAAACGTCATATTATTACCATATACAGTTAATTTCAAGAATATACCATGGAATATACCTATATTATTTTTACATACAGTGAGTGTAAAAAGTATTTTGCCTCAATAAAAATTTGAAAAAATTCCAATATATACGCCTGAAGCCAGCAAACTAAAGATGTAAAATGACTTATGTATGATGGAGTACATTTGTGGACATATTTAGATCGTTTTCTGCAAGAATCACAGCGAAAGACCTATTGGTCTCGAAGATATCGGCCGAAATATATAATAACCCAAAAATGTTTATCACAAAAAAGTATTTTGCTTTTTATTATTATTTTAGAAAAAAATTTTACATTGAACACGTTTGGTCTTTTTATAGTTACAATTGCGGTTAACCACATACTATAAGCGATTTGACCACGATTCCATTACATCACGGCATTTTTTTGTGGGTATTTTCTCACATTTACATTCAGTACATTCTCCATCAGTATTTCATTTAATATTTGGTATTTTCTCGTCCTAATCTTAAGATGAGAGTATTAAACATAGTCATTGCGGCTTCAGAACATCCCAAATTTGTTTAGAATAATAAAGAAGAGGTTTTGCAAAATATAACGCGAGGACAGAACCTTAAAAACTATAAAAACCAAAATCCGACAAACAAATTATTTAAAAAAAATTCGCGAAACCCAATTTTCTGACTTCGAAATTTGTATGGTCCATTAATATTGATCTAGGAACCAATATATGCAATGTAAATACCAATAAGGGGGTCAGATTCAAAGATATGAACAGTTCTGAAGCAATAGTAATAAAAACCAATACATGAAGTTGGGAGAAAACATCATTATTCGTCAAATCTTATTGTCTTTTGAAAAACTTTGGTTGCTAGTGGCGAATACGCATTCTATATTTTATCTCCGATTAACACCATCAGTTGCGAATAAAATGCAGTAGGGAATAAACGGGTCGATGTATTTATTTTCGAAATAGGATGTATTTCTATTGCCAGAAAACCGTCCATATATTTGAATCTGACCTCCTTATTGCTATTTTCATCGTATATTTTGGTTCCTAGATCAGTAAAAATGAACCATAAAGTTTTCGAAGTTAGAAAAATGGGGTTTCGCGATATTTTTTTAAATAATTTGTTTGTCGGATTTTATTTTTAATACTTTTTAATACTTAATACTTTTGTAAAACCTCCTTTTTATTATTCTTAACATATTTGGGATGTTTTGAAGCCGCGACCACTATATTTAATACTCTGATTTTGAGATTAGGACGAGAAATTACCAAATATTGAATGAAATATTGCTGGAGAATGTATTGAACGTAAATGTGAGAAAATACTCGCGAAAAAATGCCGTGGTTTATTGAAATCGTTGCCAAATCACTTATAGTATGTCGTTACCCGCAATGGTAACTATAAAAAAACCAAAGGTGTTCTATGTAACAATTTTTTCTAAAATAATAATAAAAAGCAAAATACTTTTTTGTGATAAACATTTTTGGGTTATTATATATTTCGGCCGATATCTTCGAGACCAATAGGTCTTTCGCTGTGATTCTTGCAGAAATACGATCTAAATATGTCCACAAACGTACTCCATTAGACATAATTCATTTTACATCTTTAGTTTGCTGGCTTTAGGTGTATAAATTGGAATTTTTTCAAATTTTTATTGAGGCAAAATACTTATTACACTCACTGTATATCTGACTATTTCTTACTAGAACTGATACAAATTTCTAAATTTTTTTGAGCAGAAAATTTTGAAATTTTATATGGATTTGAGTAAAGCATGCGTAATTTCCAAATTGATTAATGGAAATAGCTATTTTGTCAAAAACCTAATGGATTTGGGTAGGTTTCCGACGTTTCTGGCGCATGTATTACACGTCGGAAATGTATGTCATTTACGTCACTTTCTGACAGGCCATCTCTGGTCCTTATTCAAGTGATGTGTCTAAGAATTTTGGAAAATATTTCAAATTGTTATCCAATTATTAAATTAACACATTCGTCACTATTAAGTAACACGTTTTTTCTAAAGCATGCTTTTAGGAGCAATAAATAAATAACATCATTAAATTTAATTTTTTTTATTTTACAAAACATGCCAAATATTTAATAATTTGTCTTCCTTTACCAAAGATTTTTTTATAACAAAAAGGATATATCATCAATACTTAAGACTAAAAATAATAATTACTAACAAGCATAAAAAAATTAATAAATAAGAATAAAAATAGACTAAAAACGTATGTCGAATGTCTTATAATCGAGACGGTTTAATGTGCCCATATTTCGTAAATCACATTTTTCAATTTGACAACCGGGTGAACCTTTTGTGGATAACCAATCGATCCTGCAAAGAAATATATTATATTACATATTTGTTATAGAGGAGGATTCGAAGAAAAAAGTACTTACATTTTATCCACTTCCTCTTTGGGTCCTTGCATTTTACCAACAATCGTACCTTGTTTGGAGTTCTTTACCCATCCGGTGATACCAGCCTTTTTACATAGATCTCGTGTATACTTTGTAAAATAACAACCTGTAAGAAAATTGTGGGAATTGCAATTTAGAGCTTTCACTTGTACATACTGTGTTACATATTGAAATTTGAGGTTAGGAATATGTATTCATATTATATCGTAAACGAACGAACCTAATGTGTGTTTTATGTCCTGTTGGATAAATAATATTAATAACTATCAAATACTATATTAAAGAAAATCATATGGGCCACTTTTATCCCTTAATAGTTTTTTGGGTTTTCAAATTTAATGTAATACTGTCGATGCGTTGTCTTCTCAACCCCACATTACACTGAAAGAAAATGTGATGGGTAAATGATTGGAACCTCAGCATGCTGTATTCGGTGCATAAAACTGAAGCAATTGGTCAATGATATCTTTGCGGCTTTAGACCTGGCAAATCCACTATAGACCAGATTTTCACACTGCGCCAAATCCTGGATAATCCCCACGAAAAATACATCGACACATTCCAACTATTCCTCGACAACAAAACCGCATTCGACAGCCCAATACGCTCAGATGTGTTTAAAGACATGTTTCAACAGACACAAAGTCGGTTGTTAAAGTCGGAAAGGATTTCTCGGAGCCCTTCAAAATCGAGTGAGGATTCAGACAAAGTGTGACAGTTTGTCGTTTAACCTTTTAAACACTCTTTTTAACACAATGACACTCTGTACACCAAACAGTACTTGTTTCTCGTCTACACCAACGACCCGAGTCTTACTCGACCAACGTCTGTCACTTCAGCCCGTTATGTAAAAGCAATAGAGTTGCTACAACAACAACTATGGCCTATATATATATATATATAGATATGTTTCTCATATGGAGTTCCCGTAGAAGTTATGTCATATGGAGTTCCCGAAGAAGTTCAAAACTCTTAGTGGGAAACAGGGATATCCCAAGAATGTGTTTTATATCTCTTGAGCCATTCATGTTGTAGGTTCCCGCAAGTCCACACCCTCCAAACGACATATACATAGTTACGTATTCGGATGTTTCTACAATCATATGTGTGGGGCCTGTCCTTGTGGATATTTGTGGAAGATTGTGTAAATTTGAAGAAGAAGATGATCCCTTCCCGACGTCAGTATAACAAGATGCTTCATGAAGAATATGATTCAAGCAAGCGAATATTTGCACACTCTGCTATTCAGGCGTTTCAGGAAGGATCTTCATGATCTAGGATGAGAGGTTCAAAGATATGAAAGAGAGCCTCAAGATCAAGATGGTTTAAGTCGAGCAGATTGCCAACGTACTAAATAAATTCAGATTGAATAACTGAAGAGCGTCACTTTCATTTATTAAATTCACTGCCAACTTATTCCAGAAGATATGTAGTTACAAACATTGGAAGTTGCTGTTAATTTGAGTTAATATGATATCGAATCCAGACTGGAGCAAAAGTGAAACATTTAATTCAAGTCTGTTAAGATAAGATTGTCTACCACAGAAGCTACATCAACTGAATCGGTCCTAGAATGAAGTTGGATTTTATTATGGGTTATCATATGAATGTTCATTTTTGATCCTTTCCCTGCTGACTTTTACTATTTTTTTATTATTCTTTCATTACTTCATTTATAAAAAAGAACATTTTTGTTTTGATATTTTTAGTAAATGTCAAGGTAGGTTTTTAACCATTTCATGGGTGTTCATTTTATATGTCCGCTCACTACATAGTTTCACTTACGCATAGAACGCCCGACCACATCACATTTATTCACTGGCCGTGGCAGAATTCTAATTGTTGACACTTGGTTGCTGTACAGACAGACAGACCGAATGATAGATATTTAGCAAAATGTTAAAGAAAGCCAGCAAGCAAAGAAAGGCGGACAAATCTAAATATAATTTAATTTTCTAATTAAAAAAAAAAAAATAAATAAATCAGAAAACGAATTTCTCTAGAACAATTGAAAATCGTATATGAACAATAGAACAGTGGGCTAGAGATAAATATAGCTTGAGAGTAGAAATATATATTATGAAGAAGTTTTAAATTAATCAATTCTAAGGCCCAATGACAAACCTTAGTAAAATTGGTGAGAATTCAACAGCAGCAGATGCCGATGGGTTACCAGGCGAACTATTCAAGACTGGTGGTCTGATACTGGTCAGTAGCATGCACCAGCTGATTAGTACAATTGGTCTAGAGGAATGCATGCACAATGATTGGAACGTCAGCACGTCAGTGTTCCGTGCACAAAAAGGAGATAAGACGATATGTGTCAAATATGGTGGAATATGTTTCCTTCCCATCGCATATAACGTGCTATCCAGCTTACTGTGTGAACGACTGAAGCCAATGGCCAATGACATTATTGGATCATGCCAATGCCGCTTCAGACTTAGCAAATCCACTATAGACCAGATTTTCACTTTGCGCCAAATCGTGGAAAAAAAAAAACACCAAAACACATCAACACATTCCACTTTTCCTTCGTCGACTATAAAGCTGCGTTCGACAGTCCTATCCGTCAAGAGGTGTTGAAAGACATGTCTGCGTTCGAACATAATCGACATAATGGGTCGAACATTGCGAGCGGTAACAACCAGTTTTGAACGAATTGAGAAGGAGTCGTCCAAAGTAGATGGTATCAACGTGCAAGACGTCCAGTAGACTCCGGCCAACTGTGGAATTTGAAAACAACAGCTTCGAGGTAATTAAAGTTTTTATATACCTTGGTACCGCCAAAAATAATACTAATGACATCCGTTTGAAATTCGGAGAAGGATAGTGTTAGCCAACAGATGCTACTATGGTCTAAGTAAGTAAGAAACAAAGCCACCTCTTGCCAGACCAAACCTACCATCTTCAAGACGCTGATAATACCCGTGCTGTTATATGGATCTGAAGCATGGGTACTTGCGCAAGCAGATGAGATAGCTCTTGGAGTGTTTGAGAGAAAATTTCTTCGGAAGATCTATGGACCGATCTGCAGATGAGACAGCTCTTGGAGTGTTTGAGAATAACATTTTCCGAAAGATCTATGGACCGATCTGAATTGACGGTGAATGAACCATGAGCAATCGTTCTGTATTTCTTTCATTATAATTTTTGTAAGTGACAAAACAATAGTTTTCTTTTTTCCGCCACTTTGAATATTTTATCGAATTTCTTCCTTCTTTATGTTTTAACTTAAGAAAAAAATGCAGTTATACACAGTAACAACTGTGTACATTGTTTCTAATTTTTTTTATTCAGGTTGTATCGTATCGTGTAATGTTCTAGAAATTGTTCTGGTATATATATTTGTGCGACATATGCTTACCCTGTACATGACCAAATACTTCAAATTCCACAGAGATTAAATGACGAATGTCTGGAATACCCATATCTTTTGAAAAGGTTTTTCTTTTGTCCACACACACAAACACACTAAGGCAGGAAGATTATATAAACCTGCTGCAGTAATTCCGATTACTTTAAAATATAGCTTTTAATTTTGTTTTTAAATTTTCACTTTTGGAACACTACAACAAATGTATAATATCCAGATTCTTTTCTTCTCAAAATTTGAAATAATTGGAAAGTTAATTTGATTTACTGCTTATTTCGTAATTTTGACAGAGGCCACTACCGATTTTCTTTCTTTCAACTTTTTTTTCGATTTTCAATTTTCGTGCAATTCCCAATTCTTTGCTCTTTCGATTTCAACTAAAGTGAAATTTGTATTGAAAAAAGTCACCACCGATCGATTGTATTTTTGTAGTTTCCCTTAAGTAAATGGCTGAGTAAATAATGTTGGCCAACAGAAGACTGATTGGCTGGCTGGCTGACGGACTAACTGAATGCACCACTGAATGTACCAAAACCCAAAATTGAAATGAATAAAAGAAACATACGAACGTACATACTGCTAATGATTTTTTTATTTTCTAGTATTGTTTTTGTTGTTGTTGATATTGTCCCCGATTGATTTACATTAGCCGCTCACTCATGAGATTTTCAATTCAATTCTATTTGTCTTATTTCGTATATTTTGCCAGTACTTTCTATTCAAAAAAAAAAATACACATTTTACGTTTTTATTGTTGAAAACGAAAAAAAATGAATTAAGACAAACATTAATTCTTTATGGTTACAAAGGGGTCCTTACAGGTACGAACAGAAGTTTTTAACAATATTTAAAAATAGTTTAAATGTTGTCCTTAGACATTCAATTCATTTGATTTTCAGCTTCAACTTCATCAGCTAAATTCTTGTCCCGATTTAGTACTGAAAGCAGCATTGTTGTGAGTGGTTAATTCTATTACTTATATGCTGGCTTGTGACAGAATGGTTGTTCCATAAGCCGAGCTTGAAAAAGATTTCCAAGCCAGTCGGTTTTGTGCGCATTTCATCCAATTTGAAAGACCCTTTTCCGAAATGTTGTCTTCAACTTGATCTTTCTATCGGATTCGTGGCCTTCCCCTTCTGCATGAACCATCACTTGGAACGCTTTTATATGCCTTTTGAGCTGGGGCATCTTCATCTATTCTCACAAGATGGCCTAGCTAACGTAGTCGCTACAGATCGATATATCTGACAATGTCGATATCCGAGAATAGATGAATCAATGAAGATCGACCCATAGATCTTTCGGAGAATTTTTCTCTCAAACACTCCAAGAGCTGCCTCATCAGCTTGTGCAAGTACCCATGCTTCAGATTCATATAAAAGCATGGGTAGTATCAGCGTCTTATAGAGTGTGAGTTTGGTCTGGCGGGAGGTGGTCTTGTTTCTAAACATCTTACTTAGAGCACCTGTTGGCCAAATTTCAAAACTGATATCATGTCATTAGTTTTATTTATTGCGGTACCGATGTATATAAAACCTTATACTACCTCGAAGCTGTAGTTTTCAAGTTCCACAGTTGGCCCGAGTCTACTTGTCTTCTTGGGCGTTGAAACCATCATTGGTCTTCTCGCCCATCACTGCCAGAACCAATTTGGCAGACTCCATCTCAATTTGTTCAAAGGTGGATGTTACCACTCGCAATGTTCGACCCATTATGCCAATGTCATGGGCGAAGGCGATTAACATGTGTGGTTTCATGCACAGAGTGTAATTTCTATTCACATTTGAATCTCGTATGACTTTTTCCAGCAGGATGTTAAAATGGTCACACGACAAACTGTCACCCTGTCTGAATCCTCGTTCGGTATGAAAGGGGTCCGAGAGGTCGTTTTCTGACTTTAACTGCTGACCTTGTGTTAGTTAAAGTTATCCTGCATAGCCGTATTAATTTCGCAAGGATGTCGAACGCCGACATGGCTTTAAACACCTCTGAGTGGATTGGGCTGTCTAAAGCCGCTTTATAGTCGACGAATAGGTGGAATGTGTCGATGTGTTTTTCGTGGATCTTTTCCAGGATGTGGTGGTCAAAGTTGGATTTACCAGGCCTGAAGCCGCTTTGGTATGTTCCAATAATGTCATTGACTATTGGCTTTAGTCGTTCACACAGCACGCTGGATAACACTTTATATACGATGGGAAGGAGACTAATTCCTCTATAGTTGCCACATATCGTATTGTCTCCTTTTTTGTGCACGGGACACAGAATGCTGAGGTTCCAATACATTGGGCATACATTCCTCTAACCAAATTGCACTAATCAGCTGGTGCATGCTCCTGACCTCCTGGTCTTGAATAGTTCGGCAGGTAATCCATCGGCATCGGCTGCTTTATTATTCTTCAGCCGGTTAATTGCTATTCTGACCTCATCTTTGCTAAGTGGTATACAAAATATATCTATCATCACTTATTTGTTCTGAGATACCTTCTTCAGTGCCACCATTTGATACCAGAAGGTTTTCAAAATGTTCGTTCCAGATCCTCAACACGCTCTATGTATCTTTCAAAAGGTTTCCATCTTCATCTCTACAGAAGGATGTGCCGGCGCCAAAGGCTTCGGTTTGGTGTTTTACTCGTTGGTAAAATTTCCGGACTTCGTACATCTGGACTTACTCACGTTGTTCTTATTCCGCGAAGTCAATCAACCTCATGCCGTTGTCGGATGTTTCTCCATGGAGGCTGAATTTTCCAAAAATATCTTCCCTTTCGATTTTTGCATTTAAATCTCCTAGCAGAATTTTAATGGCATGGCCAGGACAGCGGTAATATGCAGTTTCCAGGCGCTCGTAAAATATGTCTTTGGTCTGGTCATTTTTGTCTTCCGACGAAGCATGGGCGCAAATAAGACTGATGTAGAAAAACTTCGCTTTATACGGATTATAGCTCATCTACTGGAGTGAATCTGGAGACGAGGTCGTTTTTTCTCCTATTAACCATAAATCCGCAGCCAAATTCATGTCTCGTTTCATGACAGCTATAGTACAGTGCGTAATCGTCTGATTTACTTGCGCCAGTCCCTTACCATCGCATTTCCTGGAAGGCAATAATATCGGCTTTGTACTTCTAGAGTACATCTACGAAGGCGAATACTGCGCCTGTTCTGTACAACGTGCAGATCGTGGTCCTTTATACGTTTACGGGGGTCGTCACCATGGGGGGGAGGTTTGGTTTTCTCTTTCTTTGCTTTTTTCATAGTAGGAGGGGTTTCCGAGTGTAGGGAACTAACCCGACGCCTTAACCCATTTTTTCTAGTTCTTATGGGTGAACTCGCGGCACACATCAGCTCACTATTTCAACGGGTGATAAAAATAGGTACCCCAGATGACACTGCGGGGAGGTCAGTGGCCACAATTGAGATAAAAGAGGGACCAAGATGTGCCTACGCCACCCTCAAGAATATTCTTTAATAACAAATCTCCTTTATAGTCCACACAGTTCTTCGAAATCCATACTAATGACATTAATGATAAATCCAACAATATCCACTTTTATGGGAACAAAATTCAAATTTTGTTTGTTTTGTTCAAAACTGATAGTCAATTGCGTTCACCAATGGGTTAAACCAAATCCATTTGTCTGTCATTCTTTCATAGGATAAACAAACACTAAACTGATTTATGTAGATCATGTTGTGTAGGTTCGCTGTATTTCATTTAAATTAAAAATGATAGCTCGAATATATACATACATTTTTTTGATTTCGTGTAAACACCTTGGCGCCCAAAATTGTAAACATTTTCAAAATAATGCAAATATTTGATGACCGACCATTGTCATATTATAGAATTTGACGACAAATAGGAAGGGGAAATTTTTCAAATTTCTTACATGGTTAACGTACACAAAAGTGCCGACATATCAATTTACTTTGTTTCAAAATTTTGAATTTTTCACATCAAACGGAAGGCAATATTATTGACTGACTGGCATTGATTTGGTGAATGGTGAAATGCAAACATTTATTTCCGCAACAAACAATTTTTGAATTAAGGGCGTCATAACATTTGGCATTAGGTTGGGCTGAACTAAATTAACTGCTTGCAGGTGTATCTATTTTGGGCCAAGTTTTTTTTTTATTTTCAAAATTTAAATTCTGCCAAATATCAATATTGTCATTCATTTGCTTATTATAAATTTAATTTTAAAATTCCGCGATAATTTTTTTTCTTACTTACTTAGCTGGCTTGTTACAGAGCGGTTGTCCCATAAGCCGAGCTTAAAAAAGATTTCCAAGCGCGTCGGTCTTGTGCGGATCTCCTCCATTTTGAAAGACCATCTTCCATCTAATTCGTGGCCATCCCCTTCTATGTGAACCATCGCTCATTCGACGCTGATATTCACCATCAACGCAGATCGGCCCGTAGATCTTTCGGAGAATTTTTCTCTCAAACACCCCAAGAGCTGCCTCATCTGCTTGCGCAAGTACCCATGCTTTAGATCCACATAACAGCACGGGTAGTATTAGCGCCTTGTGAAGTGTGAGTTTTGTCTGGCGGGAGGTGGCCTTATTTCTAAACTGCTTACTTAGACCATAGTAGCCTCTGTCGGTCATAACAATCCTTCTTCGATTTTCAAAACTGATGTAATTCGTTTTATTTATGGCATATAAAATCTTTAACTACCTCGAAGCTGTAGATCTCAAGTTCCACAGTTGGTCTGGGTCTACTGGACGTCTTGCACGTTGATACCACCTGCTTGCTCTTCTCGTCATTTACTGTTAGACCCACTTTGGTTGTTTGGTGTATATAGAGTGTCATTTCTGTTTACCTTTGTGTCTCGTATGACCTTTTCCAGCAGGATGTTAAAAATATCACACTACAAATTGTTACCTTGTCTGAATCCTCGCTCGGTATTGAAGGGCTCCTATAGGTCCTTTTCGATTTTAACTGCTGACCTTCTGTCACTTCAAGTTATCTTGCATAGCCGTATTAATTTTGCAGGAATGCCGAACACAGGCATGGCTTTAAACACCTCTGAACGGATAGGGCTGTCGAATGCGGGTTTATAGTCAACGAATAGGTGGTAGGTGTCGATGTGTTTTTCGTGGGTCTTTTCCAGGATTTGGCGCAGAGTGAAAATCGGGTCAATGGTGGATTTGTCAGGTCTGAAGTCGCATTTGGTATGGTCCAATAATGTCATTGACCATTGGCTTCAGTCGTTCACACAGCACACTGGATAGCACTTTATATGCAATGGGAAGAAGACTAATTCCTATATAGTTGGCATATATCATCTTATCTTTCTTTTACATGGGTACAGGAGACACAGGATGCTGAGGTTCCAATCATTGGGCCTAGCCAAATTGTACTAATCAGCTGGTGCATGCTCCTGATCAGCATCTGACCACCAGTCTTGAATAGTTCGGCTCCTGCTTCTTTATTGTTCTTCAGCCGATTAATTGCAATTCTGACCTCATCTTGGCTATGTGGTATACACTCTATACCATAATTTCTTATTTTGATTCTGGGATATCTTCTTCACCGCCACTATTTGATACCAGAAGCTTTTCAAAATGCTTCTTCCAGATCCTTAGCACGCTGTCTGTATCTGTCACCAGGTCTCCATCGTCATCTTTACAGGAAGATGTACCTGCACCAAAGCCTTCGGATTAGTGTTTTACTCGTTGGTAAAATTTCTTCTTCATTCACTTCATTCTGACTCCTGTACATCTCGATTTGCTCCCGATCACCTTTTTGTTTTTCTTTCTTATTTTTTTTTTTTTTTTTGGAAATACGTTTCTCCTCTCTCCTTTTCTCCCGCTTATTCTTTCTCTCATTACATGTTGCTACTGCGTGCAGGGTTGCCCAATACGCTGCGTTTTTTTACATCAGTAGCATTATGACACTCTTGATCGTACCATGGGTTACTTCATGGTGGTCTTTTGTACCCAATGATTGCTTTTGCTGCAGGTTGTAGGGAGTGGGCAATTCTTTGCCATTGTGCTTCTATATTATTATGTGGATAAGGAGTGCTTTCATCAAGCATGTGGATAAGTTGAGCGGAGTAGGCCTCGGCTACCTGTTGTGTTTGCAGCTTTTTGACGTCGAGTTTCCGTGTTGTGTTAGAGATCGCACCTTTGCTGTAGTGGTCCGAATCGATATACACTGGATGAATGCCTTCCGTCTATCACAACCTGATCAATTTGATTTCTCGTGGCTTGATCAGGAGCAATCCAGGTGGCCTTGTGCATATCGAGATGCTTGAATCTAGTTTTTGAAAAAATATATATTATATATTGAATGGTGGTCAAAATCCCAGACCCTATTATAAAAAACAAAAAAGTCAAATTGTCGAGATTTATAATTTCTTTTTATTGTCATTTATTTCTTTGTTTTTGTCTTAGGTTTTTGATCGTTTGGAACTTTTACTACTTAAAAACGAATGATTTGTACAATTTTACAATTTGTTTTAATGTTTTGTTTTGTTTTTTCTTTTCTCTTTAATAACAACAATAATTATTAATAATAGTAATCATAATAATAACAAATAAAAATAATAATTAACTTAAAATATTAGACAACAATTCTAACACAACAATTACAAAAAACTTTAAGTATTTTTTTGTGTTAATTTTCCTTTTTTTATAACTTATAACGGTAAAGAGATATGTATAATTAATTTATTGTTTTTTTTTAAGGACTAATACAAATGAAATGGAATGTCGTCGTGTGTAGTCTATGGAATCGTTGTTTTAGGATTTTTTGCCAACCTTTAATCTGTTATGACGATTCGTTGGGGGAGTGGAAGATTTTGTAGGGAATGTGCGTGCATGTAGGAATGTTGAGAAGTGAATTACTAATTACTTTTCTACAATAATGAGAGTGCGTGTTTATTTGTGTGTGTGTGTGTTGATATCAGTTCAATTTAGAGCCCGGTTAGGGGGGTGGATCAAACCAATTGCGTGGCCGAATCCATGCCAGATTGTATTTTATTCTCCGATTTCGAGGGTTTCTCAATTAGAACTCTTTGGGCATTCTTATCGTTAGGTGTCTTAACTAAAAGATTCGTTGGTTTCGTTTGATGGCCATACGAGAAGCCGGCCGAACGTTTCTTACGTTCCCGTTCAAAATGTAAGCGTACATAGTGTATGGGTATATCGACACATTCACCGCCCACACCGTCGGCATCCAAGTAAACACCGCGTACCAATATGGAATTGGAACATTTCAGGGCAGCCAAAATCAAGAATGGAATGACATGTGTTAGCCAGTAGCTCAAGATGAGATTATCTGCAATTAACGTACACAAAATTAAAGAACTACCAAAGTCGGAGGACATTTCATATACTTACCTGGATAAACGTATACATCCAATAGATTCCATATGCCACGCCATGCATTTACGGCACCGAAAAATTCCGCAAAATAATAAATATCGCAAAATATCAATTTGAAGATGCCATCAATGCGTTTGCAAACCCAGCGTACAAAGGGATGCAGGATAAATGTAAAACCCACTGTAACATAACCCATTATCTGTGGTAGAAAGTTAGAGAGAGAGAGAGGGTAAGGAGATAGATGAGTACCTAAAAAAATGTTGGAAATTTTGTTTTTTCTTGTTGTCACTTACCAATGATGACCATGCCGATTTGGCTTTTTCATTTGGATATACTGTTAAATCCATAATACCCCATAAACCTCTCCATGCGATTACCACCAGGGTACCAATAACAAATATCGAAAATAAGGTATCCATGACATAGAGGCCAGGTTGTTGAAAACCCTAGGGAGGAAAAAACATACAGATGTATATTATGTTAGGTTAAAAATATATTTTAACATTTTTTTGAGGACTATGACTGCTATAAGTGTGGAATTTTTATAAATTTTTGGAAGTGTTGGAAAAAGGTATTTGTTTCGAATATTTCTAATGTACCCTATGCGAATCCAGCGAAGATTTTGTAAGAATATTTATACAAGACGTTCGATCGATCGAGGAGTAAATATAAATTAGGACCACTACCTTGTAGCAGCCAAGGTTCGCACTCGTCTTAATGTCGCAGCAATGGTGCATTCTAGCACAACACGGAAACTCGACGTCGAATAACTGCAAACACAACAGATAACAGAAGCCTACTCTGCTCAACTTATTCACCTGTCCCGATAATAAAATAGAAGCACAATTAGAAAAAATAGTCATCTCCCTACAAACTGCAGCCAAAGCAACACTTGGGTACAAAAGATCACAATCAAAAAACCCATGGTACGATCAGGATATGATATGAAAAACTCAGCGAATAGGGCAACCCTGCAGACAGTAGCAACACGTAATGCAAGAGAGAATTATCGGGAGAAAAGGAGAGAGAAGAAACGTATATATATATATATATATATATGCTGGTCAGGAGCATGTACAAGCTGTTTAGTATAATTTGGCTAGGGGAATGTATGCCCAACGATTGGAACCTCAACATCCTGTGTCCCGTGCACAAAAAAGGAACCAAGACGATATATGCCAAAGGGAAAGGCCACGAATTCGATGGAAAGATCAAGTGGAGGATGACATATCAAAACAGGGTCTTTCAAATTGGTAAAACTGCGCACAAGATCGACGCGCCTGGAAATCTTTTTTTAATTCGTTTTATGGAACAAATGTTCTGTCTCGAGATTTTTAAGAATATTTTTGGAAGGACCCTAAGGGATATAAGCTTGGAATTTTGAAGAATATGTTAGGAGAACCATTAGCCATATAAGGGTGATTTTTAAAGAATATCATGGGGAAGGAGTGGATGATGACATATCAAAACATGGTCTTTGAAATTGCAAAAAACTGTGCACAAGATCGACGCGCCTTTTTTAAAGTTTGGCTTATGGAAAAAATGTTCTGTCTCGAGATTTTTAAGAATATTTTTAGAAGGGCCTTAAGGGAAATAATGTTGGTTTTTTGGAGAATATTTTTGAAAAGACATTAAGCGTGCCTTTTTAAATATCGTGGGGAAGGACTTTAAGCGACATATGCGCACGCACATGAATATTTTTGAAAGGGCTTTAAGCGACGTAAGCGCGGATTTTTTGATATTATCTTGGGAGGGGCCTTAAGCGGCATAATTGTAAGTTTTTAAAGAATATGTTTTGAAAGAACCTAATAACTCTGTAACATCGATTTTATTATAATATTTTGGGCTTGAGTGTTACATTTTTAAATAAAATATTTGAACGATTGGATTGGCATATTTTTTAAAGACTACCACGGTCTTTTGCTTGATTTCTTTGAATATATTTGAGGTTTCCAAAATTACTTACCGATATCTTAAACATTGTCTCAACATCAAAATAATCACTCTTATGATCCATAATCACCGAATATGGTGCCGCACCCAAATTTCTCACAGTTCGCGTAGCAATTAGAAATAGCACCGCCACCGAGGTTACTATACAAATGATAATCAGCGAACTGGCACTGGTTAACCAATCGCACAAGACCCATGACCCCCGCCACATATTCACACAAACAATACCGAACACAAAGGTATAACAACGTGAGATTACATAATAGGTGAGACGATGTTTGTCAGGATGTACGTTATTGACAAAAAATCGCTGTGTCAGCGTGAACACGAAATGCCCAGTGCCCCCGATAAGAAATGAACATAGCGCCGATAGTGGCACATTTTGAGGAAACAGTAGCACACCGATTAATTCCCAGGTGCCACGCCAATAGGCAATGACACAGGGTGCCACAACGAAGCAGGACAGGAGTATATCTAGAGTTTCGAGTAGCAGATCGTGTGAATTTCGAGGTTTCTTCTTTTTCGTTGTTGTTGTGGTCGCTGGTGGTAGTGGTAGTGTTATGGTCGATTGTGTCGGTGGCGATGCAGGTATTGACGCGGACGATGAAACTATTTGAGATTTCTGACAGCTGCTGGGTGGTAGACATGGTTCAGAATCTTCATTTTTATGATCGTTGTCATTGTGTAGCATCATAGTGATCGGGGTGGGAGGGTAGGTGTGTGTGTGCTTGTGATTTAAGCTTAACTAGCTGCTCCTTTTAATAAAAAAAGAGATTTTTGAAGCGTTTCTTTTCTGTGTGGAAAATCGTAGCTTAGAAAATATGGCAGCCCCTTTGTGAGTGTGTGTGTGTGTTGTGTGTTTCACAATCTTGTTATCCAGCCTTGACCTTGAGCTTGATTTCCAAAACAAATATCATCTCAGGCCTGCATCATAGGGAAACATTTTCATTGACGATGGACCAACAACAAATGACAGATATGGTGGTAAGGAAAACAGTGTGTCTGCTGTTTTATTCCAATCGATTTTGAGCGCAATTAGTGCTGAGGGTTTTCGACGTTCGGTTTGGGTCTTTGCTGTTTGTTGCTGTTAGTGTTGGTCTTGTCAAATTGCTTGGGGGACAATGAAAAAGCTGCGCGTTTTAAATGATAGATAGACAGCAGTCATACAGCAACAAGAACAACAATAACAAAAATACTAATAATGACACAATAAATTTATGACAATTATTTCAGGTACAATTATCACAAGGCGTTGTCTGTCGTTGACGTATGTTTGCTTCAATTCCGCTGCAATCTCCTTGCCTCCCACAGTTACACTCTCTCTCCCACTCTTAGTTTATTGTAGTTTAGTGTAATCACACGTCATAATCAGTTCCTTGCCAAACCTTCAATCCAAATGCTAGCCAATCGCTGATGTTGCAATCACTAATTTATCTGCAAATCTCTCTCTCCACCTCGTCTCACGAGCAGTTTTTTTGCTATGTGGCAACCATAGATTGATTATTTAATGAAGAGATGCTGCTAATTGTTGCCACGATTTGTTGCTTTGTTTTATAATAATTTCCTCAAATGTGTGTTGTTGTCAAAAAATATTAGTAGGGGGATTTTTGTGGTGTTGTTGTTGTTTGATCTGCCTAATTGTTATATTATTTGTATATTATTTGTTGTTGGTGTTGTTGAGTAAAACGATGAACACTGACTCCACTCAGAATAACAAACATCAGCACGATTTGTAAATGATAAACTGTCGTCGCTGTCTCAGGTTTTCTTATCGCAATTTGTAACAGTAATTCAGTTATGGGCCAATTATCTGATAATCTGCAATTAGAAATAGAACAAATTAAGATAATAATTAATTAAAGATATTGTTACCATTTCACCATTGTAGGGCACAATTAAATGTTATAGTGGAATAATTTAATGAAATGATTTAATTAACGGGATTGGAATATAATACCGCAACAATAGTTATAATTAGTTTATAAGGTGAAATCGATCAGGATTACAACAATCGTATTATATATATAATCGGAATTTATAGGAATATATATATATATATATATATATATATTTTTTTTTTTTAAATTATCAAAAACGAAGCATTGATTTTCAAGGCATATATTGGTGGAAAATAAGTCAGGATTTTTATAATAAACGGCCTGGAAGGACTATTACAATAATAAACATGTAGTTTTTAATACCTTTGAAAGCCTGAATGTGGTATCAGCTAGGAATTTTTCAATATTATAGGAAAGCGATTAGTGTGGATATTTTAAAAGTAGTTTGGATAATTGCGAATTGATTTTATGTGATTTTGGAACATTTTTGTAAGGACTATCACATCCATAAGTGTGTACTTATTTTGAATAGTCTCTGCCATCTATATCCTGTATGAGGCTTCTGACCCAACCGGACCGGATGTACAAAATCTTAGGGACGTTATGAGCAACATTCATTATGTAGTCATTGGATTGCAGTGACACCAATCCAAGAAGTGAGTCCATATTTCATATTTAAGTGGGCAACTTTGTGATGTAGTCACTGAATGTGATGCCAATGTCCATCACTTCCACTGGGGTAGCAGTGACACAAGAGGTGAGTCCATATTTGATTTTATACTTAGATATAATCTTAGAGGCAGCAGAGCAAAGTTCGTAAATAGAGTGAGAGGTGAAATTATTGACATAACCCTCAAACTATGGACGACTCTGTGGTTACAAACTGAAAAGTGTCTGAGAAATGTTATTTCTTGGACCATAGACTACAGAAATCTTATAGTAACCCTCGAAAAACAAACAGGGATAAGCTCTAAGCTAAAACAGCATCCACAACCCTTGGTTCCATAGAGCTCGGAACAATTAAGGGCGTTGAGAAAGCTGTGAACGATGTCACAGGGACTCTTCTGAGGTATTGCTCCTTTGACACACCCTAGGAAAATCTCAGCCGGTATGGTGGTGAAAAAAACCTGACATCCTTGAAGAAGGCTGTCAGGAAATAATATAATAAAGCTAGTTGGCGTAGGGGATGATAGATACTAAGCAACGACTCTGATTGGTTTTAACATGGCGAAGCCCAGGCTTATCTTGGCCCCTCTTTCATCTCAATTGTGGACACCGAACTCCCCGCGGTGTCGCCTGGGGTAACTATTTTCATCATCCATTGAAATAGTGAGCTGATATGTGCCGCGAGTTCACCTATAAGATCTATAAAAAATTGGTTGAGACGTCGGGATAGTTGCCCACACTCGGAAAACCCCTCTTACTATGAAAAAGCTACGAAAAAGAAAACCAAACCCCGAATGTTGACCCCGCAAACGTCAACCTAGCAACAGCATATGACCGCTGCCTTGGTCATGATATTAAAACTCTGCTAGGAGATTTTAATACAAAAATCTGAAGGAAAAATATTTTTCGAAGAATTCAGCCACTTGATATACACAAGGCCACATGGATTTCTCCCCATCAAATCAAATTGTTTTAGACGTTCGATCGATCCGAGGGGTGAATCTCGATTCGGACCAAGGTTCGCACTCGTCTTAATGTAGCATCAATGGTGCGATCTAACACAACACGGATGCTCGACGTCGAAAAGCTGCAAACAAAACGAATAGTAGAAGCCTACTTCGCTCAACTTAACCACCTGCTTGAAGAAAGCACCCCTTGTCCCGATAATAATATAGAAGCACAATGGCAAAGAATTGCTCACTCCCTACAAGCTGCAGCAATAGCAACACTTGGGATCAGGAGTGTCGTAATGCTACTGATGTGGAAAACGTAGCTTATAGGACAACCTTGCAGATAGTACAAACAAGTAATGTGAGGTAGAAACGTATATTCAGAAAAAAAGAGTTTAGAATAGCAAGAAGAATAATAAAGCAGCCGATGTCAATGGATTACCAACTAACCGGTGGTCAGGAGCATGCACCAACTGATTAGCACAATTTAGCTAGAGGAACGCGTGACCAATGATTGAAACCTCAGCATCCTGTGTTTCGAGCATAAAAAAGCAGACAAGAAGGCTAAGGCTATAACTTTAACTGGCACAAGGTCAGCAGTTAAAGTCGGAAAGGACCTCTCGGAGTTTGTCGTATTACCTTTTTTTAACATCCTGCTGGAAATGTCATACGAGAGGCAAAGGTGAACAGAAATGACACAACAAATGTTAGTTAGTTTAGAGATTCAATATTTCAAAGAGTTTTTCTCTCCTACCTGTTGTTGGGTTATACTCCTTCAATATTTAGAATAGGCAAAGTTATACTAAGTAACGGTTATTAATTGGCGAATTGCGCTTGTCCTTTGGTTTGAAGCATAACTAAATATTTTTTTTAGGAATACCTTAGTATACGCCGTATTTAATTTTAAAATATATTTTTATATATTTTTTATTATTATCATCGCCACTTTCTATCCTATCAGTTTCTTTTTGCTTTGTTTGATTTTTTATTAAATTTGTCTTAACTGATAATCTCCAGTACTTCTAATTTAAACTGCATCGAACTGCATTACTTTGGCTTAAAATGTTGCTGATATAGATTGACTTTCTGTAACGTCCAAACGGACGGCGGCAATTTAACAAAAATAAACAAACAGAAAATCCAACAACAACATTACATTTTCCTTTGTTTGATTAACATAATTATGATTGTTGTTGTTGTAATAATTATCATTATTTCCAATTATTTATTTTGTTTTGTTTTGCTGGTGCCGAATCGAAATCACTTCAAGTGCAAATGAACAGCAACGAAACGAAAATCAATAATGAGCGAGAGGTAAAAACCCCATCGAATGCATTTTGAAAACAGCGACCTTTTCGACTGTCTATTTATTCAAACATTTGTGATAATGAAATATTTGTCGTTTTATTTCCCATTGGCCTGTCAGTCAGTGCGGCAGCCAGCCAGCCGTTGATAAGAATTGAAAAAAATCTGACAAATGAACATTGCAGATTAACCGAAGAGATAAATAGAATTCGAGTATTCTGTTTGCATTTAAATAATGTCCCGGACAATCCATTTGATTAAACAACAGCAACAATAACAGCAACAACAACAACGACAACAGTATCACACTTGAGAGCACACTTAACGACCTAACAATGGCTCTTACTGTCACTTCACATTTAAAGTGTGACAATGTCGTCGCACAGTGGAATTGCCAATGTGCGTTATCTTCAGAATATTCGATTTTCTTTGTTCAGTTATCTTTATCAAGTCCCAGGTGTTCACATATACATATAAGTGGTCTACATAGATTCGTGGCGAACTTAAAACTTTGGAGCGATATTTCTCTCGATTTGTCCCACTGTCTTTGTGATCATTGTAATTGTTTATTGTCTAACAATAATCTCATAAAATATTGGCTTAGAGAAGTGAATACAAATCAAGTATGAAAGATTATTGTCATCGAAACGGATCAACTAATTATCTAAATATGAGTTTTCCAAGGAAAAAATTAGGTTTTTAAAAAATAAAAAATTGTGGAAACGGGAAATTTTTGAGAGATAAAATTCTAGACAATTAAGTTGATAAATTAAAAAATAATAATAATAAATGTCCTTATGAATTAGTTTTTAACATAATCTCCGAAAGATCTTAAAAAAATAGTTGTAACATTTGTTTCTCTCGTGGCTACGAGATTCCTTGAAAAAATATTTTTTTTTAAATCCCCCAATAGTTATTGTAAAAACAAATTCGAA